TTAAAGAAAAATGTACTTTTCCATTTGTATTAACAACACCATTTGTTGAATACCAATAAATTATTAAAACAAACAATTTTCTTCTAGACATTGCCAAATCGGACTTTAGGTCGGAATTCACTATTGGTAGAATTTAAATGAAATGAGTATTAAAAAAATATTTTATGTTTTATACATGTCAAAAAGAAGAAAAAAATCATTTCCGTGAACTCTGGGGCATTTTTAGAAGGAATGAGTCCGATTAGTTTTACCTTTTTTTTTAAAAAAAAAGAAAATTATTTATTTAAAATTTGGATTCGGTACAAGCGGGAAAAAAAACTTCAATAATAACGCGAAGTTGTCCATTAAAGGGGGGGGGGAGAGAGAGAGAGAGAGAGACGAAGAAGAACCAGTATACGCTCCAATCAGGATTCAGGATTCAATCTCTGAAAAGATACTTTTTGACACTAAAAAAGAATTGTAAAGAAAGGAAATGTATACATTTTTATTTCATTCTTTTAAATCGTTTTGCATTGCCAGCTATTGCATAGCAAATATACTGCCAACAAAGCCAAGGTTTTTTTTATTTTATTCCATTACTAGGGTCGGAGAGAAGAAGAGAAAAAAATTATTGAGCGGAGAGACAATTTTTCTGGTTATAAAACGAGCCAAGTCTTTTTTATTTTCATTCTTGACTTGGCGATAGTTCATTGACCGAAGGTAGCTAATGAGAAGATTTAAAGATGAGTCGCGTTTTTTGGACGCTTTATAAAAGGTAAGACAAGTCGGAAGCTCCGAGTAGAAGATCGTGTCTTCCCCAAATGGGGGGGAAGGGGGATATATCTTGTCTCTATAAAGGTGTAAGGTTAAGGAAAGTTGTAGTTCGCTATATTTATAATCCAGAGATAACGTTTTAAATGGAACTAAGCAGTATTTTTAAACTGTATCGTGACACGCTTATTCATCAAGACGTTTTGTAGGGTTGAGTCCCAACTCACTTTTAAGGCTCTAGCTCGCTCGAGATCGATAATATTTTCTTGAACCAGCAAACCAACACTTATTATGGGCAAAGAGAAAAACTAAAATATTAAGATTACTTATTTAAGGACCTTAAGATTTCACATTTTTTGAATTCTTTACACTGAATCAGTTTTATATATTTATTTTATTTTTTATGATTAATTACCAAAACGAACGTACTCTTTCATACTTGTTGAGCTCGTAAGCGCGTGTCGGGCTTTGTGTCTTAACTCTAGTGCAGCGTTCGTCTTATCTTGAGTCTTAGGAGAGGCAAATTCTAACATTCAATCTATCTTCTAAAATCTGTAGATTTGATGAAAGCTGTTTTTTGGTGCAACAATATAAATTACCATCCATTTATTATCTAGTGCTGTTAAATTTTTATGTTTTTTTTTCTTCTTCCAGAACGCATATTATTTTTGGTTTTTGAAATGTGGCGTGGTCGTTATGTCAGTGAACTATTTTATTTTATATCCGTTGCTTAACAGCCAACCCAATTTTGAGTTTATGTCTACCAATGTTTAACTCCGTAGCTTTGTAATTTTGAGCCTAACCCAGAAGACAATGGATTACGCATTGGGAGATATTTGCATTCGTGGAGGACTTTTTGATTTAACTAAACCACATTTGCGTTTCATGGAGAGGAAAACCTCCCACAGTTAGCCCGAAGGGAAAGGGACTCTAACCAATAATCCGCCTACCATTGATGATATTTTAAGTAAGCTCTGTAGTCGGTGCGGGATGGGTGCGCATCGAACAGCCATCGCAGGGATTCGAACCCTCTTCATCTCATTGGAAGTCGACCGCTCTATGCCCTGAGTCATCATGGCTCCACTGAAATGCCATTTTACTTTACTCCATATCCGTCGTTGAACAGCCGACCCAATTTTGGGTTTAATACTACTAATATTCAACTCCGTAGCCTTGTAATTTTGAACCAATCCAGAAAATAAAGAAACTCCTGGATCAGTACCCCCAGAGGTATTGATTTGTTATGGGAACATGGAGGACTTTGCGACTCGATAGATTTAACGTGCATCAGTCACCATTTACTACACGGGGAGTCTTCGGCCGCCGGTGATCGAACTACTGAACTGTCATTGGAAAAACTGGTTGAACTGGTGGAACTTAAAGTACAACCAGATTTAAATCAATGCGTACCAACTTGTCTGAGAAGTAAAGACGGCCTGTGCGCAATGTTGACCACGTTACCACAATCATACCGTTTGTCACAAATTTATGGAGGCTTAAACTCTTTGACTTCCCTGGCCCACAACAGGCTGATATATATATATNTTATTTTAAGGGTCTTATTTTCTATGTTTACAGTAAATTTTACTTAAATTTTAAATAACTGATAGATTTTTAGACTGTTATTCAATGAAAAATTTAAAAAAGTTTTTTTTTATTATTTCTCTTAAATACATTTTAGAGAGGAATGGAATATTTTAGGAGATTTGTAATTAATAAGCATTAATTAAATAATCCGACAATATTTTGAAAGTCCAAAGCCGAAACTGACGGTAAGTCGAACTTCCGATATGTCGAAGTTTTTCGTCAGTCGCCGAGTTATCGCAAATTCACTGTATATATATATATATATATATATACATAAATAAATACAAGAAAACACGAAGAAAGTTAAGAAAAACAATAAGTTTCATTTATTGCGCTTAAGCTGCAAGTAAACAGAACTCATTAGATAAGTTCAAAATGAAGAATAAAACAAAGAAAAATTATAGGCATATGAAAAAAAAAGGGGGGGGGAAATAATATGTAAAAAAATAACAAACAACAGTTTAAAAAAAAGAAAAGAAAAAAGGATGAAATTTTATTTAAAAAACCGGGAAAAAAAAGATATAATCTTTTCATCAGCCCACACGTTTATATCCGCAAAACAGATAACTTCATCTTACCCATTTATGTCTAGTCAGATATGAAAACTGGTAGCTTAGTAGTTTATATTTGTTTTTACAATTAGATTTTTATTTGTTCCCTACCATTTTAGAAAAGTACTGCGTGCTTTTACTTCAGATCGAATTATAAATATTTATATAATCAATATATCTTGGTAAGCAGACCCATTTCTAAATAATAAATCTTAATAATGAAAAACTGGCACTACCACTTTTTTCTGTGTTTGGTGAAAAGGAGATGTCCTTTTAAAATGACGTTTGGCACAATTGGGTTTATTGCGCAAGTTTTCTCTTACTTCATCGCATAATTCGGCTATTTGCATTGAAACTATTAAGCGCATGTTTCAACCTTAAACAGTGACAGGCTCTATTCAAAACGAAGATAGAACCAGATGTTTAAATAAAAGTAAGAGTTTATGGCGGGAAATGTCGCACTAACGGGAACACTCATTTTGAAGTGAAGGTGAAGTGTTTTTGTGGATTAGTTAACTAAGAGTTTCAGCTTATACAGGTGGGGCGATCATATTCAAGGTTAGTGTATGTAACGAATGCAAAGGAAAGGGAAAAAAATGAAACAAACTAAAATAAAAAACGGATCACCTTGAATAACTTTTGATTTTTTAGATCTTCACGTTCTTGGACCTAATCTTCGTTGTTCAAGGGTGTGATCTTAAATATGCTAATCAGTTAGTGCAGGCGATATCATGAGTTACGAAATTAATCAAAAAACGTCATTTTTCTTAATAAACATACCTTTTTTTCCCGATGGATTCGGATTTTTGACCCCCAAAATATAGTAGGTTGTCGCAATCCGGGAAATATGGCCCCAATAGTTTTGTCAGGAGAGTGGTCCACAATTTGGACCACTTAATGTTAATTTTGCTTTTTTGCGTACTTTGCCATAAAATTTTTAAGAGAACTGAAATTTTTTTTAATACAATTATAAGAATCGTTTTTCCAAATATAATTTCATGCGAAAAATAACTTACAGTATATATTTATTTTTCTAGAAATGAACAATCTTAAACTTTAAGATGTACAATTATTCTATTTTTTTTATTTATTTATATTTACATAATTTTAAAGAATCTAAGTTTATATTGCAAAATACAAAATTTGAGCTAAATTGGTTAAACAGTTCCTGAGAAATCAAATTTTAAAAAAAGTTTTATTTTTACAATTTGATTTATCAATATAATCAACTTTTATTGATCTTACTTGCGAATCGTAAGCAAGAGTCATATAGGAGGCGAATTCCAATATATTTGCATTGGGATCCACAGTGGTGATACGCGCGTGTGAATGCAAACGTATGGAATTTGCCCTCTCGTATGCTTCTTGCACACCACTCGCTCCCTCGATGTGTGCGACTCGTCTTAACCTCAATGAATATCTTGACTCACAGCGAGCAGATGAGAGAATGCTTATTTATGAAACTCTAATTTTTTGATTTTAGCAATTATAAATATTATTATAACAATAATATTTATTACAACAATTATATTTATTATAACAATTTTAATACTTTAAAAAACCATGTTGGCTCAGGGAATAGCACGCTTGCCTCACAATGAGGCAATCCAGATTCAAATTCTGCCGTTGATACGAATTGTGCTCCCGGCTTGCAACAACCACAGTGCGGACGTAAAACATCTTCAGTGGTAGACGGATCATGGGTTAGAATCGCTTTCTTATAGGGCTAACCGTGGGAGGCATTGTGATTTTCCTGTCCATATAACACTAATATGGGTAAGTTTCATCAAAAAGTACTGCACAAGGCTTAGTTTAATTCAATGTTTGATCCAGAAGTTCCCTTGTCTTCTGAATTCTGTTCACTATTACAAGGATACGGAGTTGAAAATTGATAAAACTTAAAATTGGGTTGGCTGTTTAACGATGGTTATAAAATAAAATAAAATCCTTTAAAAATACTATTTTTTCGAATTTATTAAATTTAATCACAAAATTTTTGATAGTCTTTTAAGTGCAACATTGCGTTTTTAAGATTTACGAAAAACTGTTATTTATTGTAAATTAATGAATAAGAAAGAATCTTCGATTTCTAACTTTTTGTATTTTTCACAGGTGTCTCCAAGAGAAACGATGCGTAAGTATGCCAAGTGTGTCCTCCTTTGAGTCGCCGCCCCCAAATAAGACAGATCCAAGCGTCGTCGTTTACAGATCTCGGTGGTTGAAACTGCAGGCCAGTCGATTCCGCCGCAGGTTCCCGGAAGTACCCGACCATGAGAAACTCGTTAACTGTGAGTATATCTATCTCTTAATTATCATTTTTTACACCTTACGCTCTTTATCTAACAATCGCTGTGATCACAACAAAAGAAACAAAAACAACAACGAACCATCAAAACAAATAATAAGATTAGCACGAACTACTTAACTGCAAACGATGCTTTTAGAACTATTATTAGTAAACATCATAGGAATCTTTCTAAATTCTTATATTGCGTGTTGTTAAATAAACCGACGTTATAGCAGTAATTTGTATTTTACTTCAATAATTCCATTTTAGAAGAAAAAATTGCTAAAATTCCGAGTTTTAAATTGAAAATTTAATTTTAAAAATAATTTAAAAAGTAATTGTTGTAGTATTACATCAGTTTATTTCATATGTATCTGTGAGTATATCTCTCTTAATTATGATTTTTTTACACCTTACTCAGTTTCTCTAACGATCATTGCGATCACAACAACAAAAGGGAAAACTATAAAAGAAACCATCAAAGCAAATATTAATAGTAACACGAACTACTTACTTCAAACGATATTTTTAGAACAATTATTAACATAACTAACAGGAATTTTACTAAATTCTTTTATTAAGCTACAGACATCATTGCTCTAATTTATATTTTACTCAAATAATTCCATTTTAGGAAGAAAAATGTAAAAATTCCGATTTTTAAACAAAAAATTTTAAATTTACAGAAATTCATCTTTTTTTAAGTATTTCATATCACATCCCCGTGACACAATGCGCATATTTTTTGCACCTTACGCAGTTTGTCTAACAATCTCTGTGATCAAAAAAAGAAAGAAAATTAACCATCTAAGCGAATATTAATATTTTTGTACGAACTACTTACTTCAAACGATATTTTTAAAACAATTATTAACATACCTCATTAGAATTTTACTAAATTCTNCTCTTAATTATGATTTTTTTACACCTTACTCAGTTTCTCTAACGATCATTGCGATCACAACAACAAAAGGGAAAACTATAAAAGAAACCATCAAAGCAAATATTAATAGTAACACGAACTACTTACTTCAAACGATATTTTTAGAACAATTATTAACATAACTAACAGGAATTTTACTAAATTCTTTTATTAAGCTACAGACATCATTGCTCTAATTTATATTTTACTCAAATAATTCCATTTTAGGAAGAAAAAAATTTAAAAATTCCGATTTTTAAACAAAAAATTTTAAATTTACAGAAATTCACCTTTTTTTAAATATTTCATATCACATCTCCGTGACATAATACGCATATTTTTTACACCTAACGCAGTTTGTCTAACAATCTCTGCGATCGAAAAAAGAAAAAAAAATTAACCATATTCTAAGCAATATTAATATTTTTGTAGGAACTACTTACTTCAAACGATATTTGTAGAACAATTATTAACATACCTCATTAGAATTTTACTAAATTCTTATATTGTCTGTAGTTTAGCTACTGACATAACTCTAATTTATGTTTTACCTCAATAATTTCATTTTAGAACATTTTTTTTTTTTTGTTAAAATTGCGATTTTCAAACAAAAAATTAAAAAAACAATTCAATTTTTTCAATATAATTTTTTGTTAAGTCATCCATATCATATTCCCTAATATAATGTGTATCAAACCACTGAACAAATATATTCATTCTGGATAACTAGTATTTTCAAAGATTGATCAAATTGCGTGTTTCAAATAATTTTTCATTTTCTTTTTTTTCCCCTTCAATAAATCAATTGCAGAAAAATAAGCGCTTTTTTTTCCAGTTATTTGTTCTTAGTTTTGTAAAATTATTTTGAAAAGGGAAATCGCTCATTCCGATTTCTACATAATATTTTAGATACTTTTCTATCATTATGTTATTGCGTTCAGTGAAAGAGGGGGGGAATTCCTGAATCTCACTGAGCCAGAACTAGATCGCCAGAAGGAATCTTTTAAAAAAAAACTGTTTATTTGAGAACTAAATGTTTGATCGATTCCGCAAGAACTGCGTAAATATTTGATCATCTATTAAGTAATACACAATGTTGTTGGGTAGGAGGTAAATGAAATCATGCATGTTGAAAATCATTAGATAACTGATCTTATTGTTAAACAACTCCTTTTGATGGATTTGTGAAGATGACTTTTTCTTTCGAAGATTATCATTTTTTGAAATAATTAATTGCACATTCTGCATTCTAAAAAAGCCAGTTATGCATATTGTATTTAAATTATATTAAAAGGTTTAATCTGAGAAAATTTTTTGTATCTTCTCTCTACATTAAAAAATCGTTATCGCCGCTGCCGTTGTTTTGGGTGCTCAACTTCGCGTTACATTTGTCTTTACTGCGAAAAAGCTATAAGACAAAGAAACTTGAAATTACGAAGGTGTGTAGAAAAATATACAAGAGAGTACAATGAAAAAAAAATTTGCAATTGAATTTTAGTTCTAGAAGTATTAACTTAAATTGTCTTAAAAAATGCAATGCGGACCACTCTACAGACCACAGAAATACATTTACAGAATTGAAATTTTCAACACAACAAAAAATGCACAAAAAGTTGGACAGAATAAAAATAAAATTAACATTCTATAATTAGAATGAACAGGTGGACCGGGACAGTCTGGTTGGTAGGGCGTTGGGCCCATGTCCAAGCGATCGGGAGTTCGATCCCCGCCGTCCGAAGACTCCTCATGCACAAAATGGTGACTGGTGCACTCAAAATAATATGACGGGGTGATAAAGTCCTCCAAATTCCTATAACAAATCAGGACCTCTGGGGGTACTGGATCGGAAATTGATCGTGCTCTCGTCCAGGTCAAAATTACGATCTCCAGATGGATGGTGTGCGAATGTGTCCTTCCTATAAAACGGACTGAAATATGTGGGGCGGAAGTCAAATTCATGGTCATAACTGGTGCCACTAGAACATAAGAAGAAGCTCACCCCTCAGTCCTAAAATAAGCTGGTCAGTATAAACATGCGGCATAAGACAACAACAGAGTGAACAGAGGGTTAAATGTTTGGGTTAACTAGCTATATTGAACTTAGAGTGTTATTGATTAATTACTTAGGAACAAATTCTTTTTTTAATATGTTTATTGTAGACTCTTATATTTTAAAAGTCTTACGTACTGCGTGAATTTTCGGTTATTTCACTAAACAAGTTTATATATTTTAAGCTAGTTTAACATGAATTTTTTGTGTAACAAAGGTCCTGTTTTATCTGACTATATTTGTAAATTTTGAAATTTTCTCTTCCTATTACACCTTTGCATTTTTTATTTATTTTTTACTAAGAAAAAATGTTGAAATTCAAATCTTATCACAATTATAATATTTTAAAAAGAAAATCACAGTCTGTTAGGTTTTAGAATAACGAAACTTAATCACATATTTCCTAATATTAAAATACAATTTTGATTTGGACTGCTAATGTATTGTACATACCATATACGCTAATTTTGTAGATTCCTTTTAAATTAATATTCTAAGTTAAATACCACATAGATTTAGAAAATGGAACTTTAGTAATATTACGCATTTTAAGATAATTTTGAGTCCAATTAAAATTTCACTACAATTAAAAGTGGTGGGTCAGGGCCATTTCACTCACATAACCTGTTGGTCATTTTACTTATCAAGTAACTACAAATTAGGTAATCCTTAGGTTAGGTCTTAAAATCTAATTTTTTTAAACTTCTTTCATATTATATAAAAAAATAAATAAAATCTTTTTTTTAGTTATAAATTATCTTGCATCGATATCTTATTATGTAGCAATCAAAATAATTAAATTACATTAGAATGTGATTTTGCCATATGATGAAAAAACTTTTAATTATCCGTAGCTTCCTTTGGATTAGCTTAAATAAATAATGTGCTAAATGATGTCAGCGAATTGAAATTTCGGACCAGAAATTGTTATTGAAAAATCTAGTTTTGGTAAATCGAAAAAAGCTGCCAACGTTCTACTTTTTAAGAAAGTTGTTTTCCAGTGGTAGCAAAAGTAATATTTCAATTTTAATTCTCAGTTAATAAATTTATTCTAAAATGATTTTAAGGATAATGCCATAAAATTTGAATATTATGTATAAAAAAAGATACATATAATTATTCTGCAGACTCTAAGCACCGTTGAAATAAATCAGAAGTTCTGTTTATTTTTAAAAATTACTACTTAATTTCCATATCGCAGGGAAGTATAAATAAATAAAAAAACGCAAATAAAGTTAGAAGTTCTCCTGACTTCATAAAATTATTGTATTAGCGCCATTTCGTATCGTCTGCAATTTATAAAAGTTTATTTCATTATTGTTCTTCGAAAGAACATAAATACCGTCTTTTTTTAAAAAATATTACTGTTTTGAAAATTTAATTAAAGCAATTTCCAACTTTAATTGCCAACTGTAACTCACAAAATTTAAATCGGAAAAAACAGAAAAACAGTTGGTGTTTTAAAGAACATTAACAAGTGTTCTGGTTGTGAAAATTAAATATTCCATATTATATTACGTGTTGTTGTTCTTAATGAATATTTCTTTGTCTATAGATTTCTCTTGTGCCCTTGTTTCGGACATTCTTCTTCAGGGACATCTTTTCATCACAAAAAACTATTTTGGTTTCTACTCCAATATATTCGGTCACAAAACACAAGTAAGTTTTATTTCCATCAATCATTCTAACAAGCAAGTTAACTTAAGATTAACTCACAAATCAAGCATAAATTCTTAATGCAATTATTTATTTATTTTTTGCAATGAAAACGTGACATTATTTCAATAAACCAATATATATTCTACAACCTTTATTTTACATTTATTAGCACCTCTATAATTATTTACTTATATCTTCTGCCCCAAAATTAATCTGAAGAAATCTTTACACATTATTATCAATACAAAATTCTGGCGCAAACATTCTGTTTCTGTTATAAAATTATACATATACTCTAAAATTCATGAACCCTTGAAAAATAAATCACGACTTCTTTAAAGTATTATTTCTTAACAAATGCCATTTAGAAACTTGAAATAAGACAAAAATTATTTTAATTATTCGGCTAATATTGTTTAAGTAAATAACTTGCAATTAAGGGAAAAAAATGTATCATCCTTAAATCAAATGTTATTACGGATAATTTTCTTACTGACAGCTTATTCTCATTTATTTATTTATTATCATTTGTAAAATCTGCATAAATGAATGATACACTATTTTTCGTTCCAGATCCTGATACCGGTATCAGATGTGGTGAAAGTCACTAAAGAAAAAATCGCCAAAATCATTCCTAATGCTGTCGGAGTCTACACCGATTCAGAAAAAGTATGAATGACTCTTTTTTCGTCATTTTTTAACAATGCGTCTCATAATTCTCAATTAACTCTAAAAAGTCAAAATACACATTTATTTTAGCGAAAGCATACTCTACTCATATATTCAAGATTATTGGGACAAATTTTAAAGGGAAATATGGGACATCACGGAGATTCAGTATTGCATAGCAACAGGTACAAGAACCAAAGAGACGCAAGACTGAGATCATCTGAAATATTTTTGGTCAAAGATATTGCATGTGCTGCGGCAGATAATATCTGAAAATGTCGCAAAAAGTTTCCACCATTGCTAGCGATGCATGCGTTACACTGTTAGGCCATGGATTGGTGGACCCACTCTAATACACCTGGATCTTGTTGGATATCCGCAGCAGTATAGACGATTCTTGCAACCAGATCCATTTCGGAATCCACAGGTGTTGCGTACACAGCAGTTTTTAATGCACCCCAAGAAAAGAATTCCATGTTGTTTAAATCAGGAGAGCATGGTGGCCAAGGAACCGGTTCACCGAGCCCAATCTATCTTGTGAACAACAACACCTAGTGGCGAACGAAGTCGTTTCCAAGCCTGAGTTGCTATGCAAATTTGAATCCTTGTGATGTCCTTACTTCACCTCAAAGTTTGTCCTAATACAGGAGGGACACCCTGTATAATATACTTTTATCAAAATGAATCACCATACGTAGGGGTTATTTTTGAAAAATTTGGATGTGTTAGCTGTCACCCCATCTCAATTTAAGAATATTTATTATAACAAATTATTATAAAGTTTTTTACAATTTAGGCATGTAAATTGCAAAACCATTATTTTTGTAGAGATTATGGAAAGATGCAGAATTGGTGTATAGAATTGCGACCCCCCAGTACCCCATGAATCAATAACAGACGGTCATTCACTCGAATTCAACTCAGTGTCATCAGTATCCAATGCATCTTGTAGCAACATCTTCATGAGATTGAACCCTTTATACAATAAGACGATATTAATCAAACAAGATTTTTCTAGAATAATTTCCCCGTATAAACACTAAAAAAAAACATTAATTTGTACCCATGTTGTATTTTTTTGCAAGAGACTATTTCGAAGAAGAACCAGTGGAAAAAAAAACATCTCTGATTCCGCATGATAATTAGCAATTACTCGAGGCGCATAGAAAATGAGGAAAGGCAAAGAGTCGAGCGCAACTCGACTGTAGAATGTGGAATAAAGGAACCATCCTTTCTTTTTGAGCAGGAAGCAATTTTTGTAACAACTTTCGCGTGACGTTGTTATAGTTTCTAATAACCTAAAGGAGCTGCAAAATCACGCAATTCTCTCCGAGAGAAACAAATAAAAAAGCCTCTCCTTCCCTAAGCACCTACATTTACGCCTGACACTACACACCTGCTGTCCTGCAACAATTTATTCGTGGCAGTTTTCAGACAAATTGAGTGTTATGCCAGTCGGTGACATAAGAGTTTTTTCTTCACTCAAAACCTATAATTCGTGACTAAAATTAGAGTCCTCCTTGCGGAAAGATTTTACACAACTTTGTATTGTTTAGATGAGGTGAACTGTTTCGTTTAGTTTTGAAAGCGACAGCGAAAATCTCTCGGTTCTTGGTTATTTATGGCTCAATGTATTTTGTTTACAAAAGATATGATTTCGAATGTTACCATGACCGATGTTTAAAACTTAGTTTAAGAAAAGTTAGCTTTTTAATGTATATATTTTTTTATAAATTGTTAATTATTTATAAATTTTTAAAAAAAAGTTAACAAATTTATAGTATTTTGTGGTACTAATCCATTTCGCCGGGACAATCGATAAAGTGCCAATGAAAAATGAAAAAAAAAAGTAAATCCAACTGTTTTTTTTAATTATTATTATTACTTTTAATTTTAAAAATAAAATAAAAAATTTAATGAATAAATAAAATGACTGAGGACACTTTCATCGGCAAAATGGATAAGTACCAACTATTTTGTTAAAATTTCTACTAGATCTTTAAAAATAGTTAATTCAGCTAAAGAAAAAAAAATTTTTTTGTTAAGCTGACCGATGTTAGTATGATTTCTTTAATTTAATACAACGGGACAAAATCTTGTAAAATTAAAATTAAAGTTTTTTTAACATTTTTTTCCTTTCTTTTACATTATTTATTCTTTTTTTTTATTTAAAAAAAATCGTAACTTAAAATTGTGTCCTGCAATTCCGTAAATAAATTACAAAACATTACCAGATTTTTATTGATAACGCAAAAAAAATTAGTTGTATTGAAAAACAAAATCGACGGTAAGCAGACTGCATTTCATAAGTTTTCCTAAGTAATTATTTTTTGTTCACACTTTCATAGTTCTGGCCTACCCCAAAATCACTATATTTTAAAAAATAAAAAAACGTAAGTGCCACTGACACCACTATTTAGGGTGTCTACCTTCAAGTTACACTTTGTTTTACTGCATAAAGTTTGTAGAAACGATGGGATGGATAAAAAGATTAACATTCAATAATTAGTGGGAGAATTACTAACTGTTAAACTTGTAGTATAAAACACCAGCAAGCCATAACGTGTTTAGAAGGCTATTTTTATTTGCTAACTTCTTTTTAAATTTCCATGTTGTTGGAAATTTTAAGAACTTCAATTGATTATCCGCAAATTTTTCTCCGTTTTTTTATTATTTAAATATTAATTATTTAAACTTTGCAGTAAGAAATCTCTTTCTCTTTTCCGAGATCTTTATTTCATAAGCTCACGCTTGAGTTGATGACAAAAGTATATCAGGGGTCTGTCCAGACATTCTGTGAAAGGTCCTGTTTTTGAAAAATTGTGAAAAAATTACTCGTAATTTGTGAATATAAAATAAGCGTTAAGACACATTCTTTCAACCAGGGTCCTGTTTTGTGAATTTGTGTAAATAGGGTCCTGTTATTGCAAAAAACATTTTCAAGGAGTTTTTAGATTGGAAATGGATACAAGATTATGCTTAACACTGTAAAATTATAATAAAATAAAAATAAAAATTCATAAATAAACAGCTATTGCTGCTACTAAATTTGCGATGCAACATACAAATATTTGGTATTTAGCCTATACTGCACAACACAGAATATTCATTTCGGACTTATAATGAAAACAAAATCACTCACATTTTTAATGATTTCAATTGATATATTTTAAGTACCCCAACTTAGCTATGTATCACTTCTAATGTGTTACACATTAAGTAAATTTAAACAATTGTTAAATTTATTACATTTTTTTTTAAAAATTATAAGTTAATTTTTATTTACATAATATTTTATCAATTAATTTTATGAATAATATATTGCTCAGTTATTTATTTACAAAAAATATCATTTAATATCAATAAGAATGTACACACGATGTTTGTAGAAGTATAAATATTTTCTTAGAATACTACATTTGGAATTTATAAATTGTTTTGGGCTTCGAAGAGGTTAAGGTGCANCACTTACGACAATTGTTTTATCAACGTCTTTGCATTTCACAGCTAAAGTTTCCATGCACACTTTTCGACGTCCGACGTTCTCGGAAAGTTGTTGACATTGGATAAACAAAACACACTCTGAGATTGTTTTAAAATTTAAAAAAATGTTTTTAGTAATAGAGGAGACTTCTATCTTCAAATTCCACACATTTTTAACGTGAAAAAAACATAATACTGAATAGCAGCACTTGAAAAGTGCCAAATTCGAATTTGCACAAAGTAGCCCCACATGACGGTACTTACAAAATATTTACGTATGAAACTACAATAATAGTATATTCTTTTAACAAATAAGACTTTTAAAAGAAAAAAACAATAATGAATGTGAAGTAATTACCAGGGTTGGTGAACAAACCTTCTACTAATAATAAACTAACATTGAGCTTCACCTATGGCAGCAAACTTATTAACCGGAAAGAAATAATCACAAATTAGACAAGGGAAATTTTAGATTTATTATGCATGTGGTTAAGTGATTTAAAATGATTTCTTTTTAAAATAAATGCTTTTCACATAACAGTTGATTGACAGTTTAGAAAAACTCCACCCCAGCGTCACCAGTAGTTCATTGCCATAGAGACTGAATAAACAGGTTGAGTTGTTTTAAAGTTATAAAACCAAAGCAATTTTCACATTTGGTCTCGTGGAATGAAAAAGAAAATGATTTGAAAACCTGTTATGATGAATAACTTATCAGACTTTTATTGGAGAAAAAATTCTCTCAACTTAAATTGATCATTTAACAATAGAATTTGAAGAAAAAAAACTCTGTTGTTGAACGAACTCTTAAACCATTTAATTTGGCCATAAATTAACCATTAAATTGGGTAGAAATATAAATTAAATTGTGGATTCTTTTATTTTAACAGCATTCAATAATGCTGGGGAATATGAGGTTTTTTAACGGATTTGGGATACGCTGATTTAAAATCTGCAATCGGTTTTTCTTTCAAAGCTACATTTTTTGAATGACATTTTTAGTCTATTTATGGACGAGATGCGCTAGTTTGAAAACGTTATATATAGGGTTATATAAACGTTATATGACAGGAGGTTCTAGGTGAGTTAGGGCACATCATCACGATTAAAATTGCTTTAGAGCCCTTGTTTGAAAATGTCATCATACGCCGCTAGGGGCACTTCCCTTTTATTAACTGTTTCCTGGTGTGCTTCTGAACAGGTCATAATAGGGAATCAAAGAAGCCATTAAATTGATTCTAATGTGCATTAAGTGTGTGTATCATTAAGCAAATAAACAGACAAAAAATAAATAAATAAATCTATAAGAGTAAAAAAGTAAATAAAAGACGTGACTACATGAACTGTAAAAAATTTTAGTTTAGCTCAACACAAAAACTGGTGACTACTATACGCCCAAAAAATATTCCTCTGAAGATCTTCAGAGGAAAGATAATTCCATTTTTTTTTTCTTTCTTACAATAAACTCGAATTTTCTTTTGCTAATTAATTATATTATAATTTTTTTTGCCGGCGGTTAGCGTGCCTGACTGCGAAGCCATAGGCTGCGGGTTCGCATCCCGCTCTGGGCATGGATGTTTCTCTCTCTCTTTGTGCTGTCCTCTGTTGTGTGTGTGTATGATGTGTGAAAGTGGCCCACCCTATAAACGGGTTTGTGGCAGTGTGGCGTGGGCAATGTTGCTCGCCTCCGTGACTTTGGTTCACATGTGCCCACTGGGTAACGCGAAATGAGCAACAATTCTGGCATAGTATAGGCAAAGATTCAAATTCAGTGCCTGCCATTGGGAAAAAAAAATATTATAATTTTAAAAGTAAAAATTCTTTCATCGCTACATTTTGACTTTCTGGAATTTTTATTGATGACGCCATTGTTGCTATGTGCTTATGAATGTCCTGAAATTAATTTGTAACTTTATTTCTTGACAGTTTATTTTTGGCTCCCTGTTATCGAGAGACACGGCCTTTCGTGTTATACAACAAATCTGGATTCAATCCACGGACCCGGTAAGTTTAAATTTACTCCTTTTCCTTGTGGAATCAGTAAACCTCGTATATCATAGATTGTTCTTGCGACATTGCTCGGCAGCAGTATAAGTTAACTACTGGGGTTTATGTTAGATCCACTGTTTTATAACATTACCGCACTTTCAAGAATGTGTGGGTGGAACTTTGCAATCGGAATTTTGACGTTTTTCCGAACCATTTAGATCGTTTTAATCTTTAGAAGATCAAGCATCCTGATTGATGGTATGGAAAGTTTCAATCAATCCTTGTCTTGCAAAATATATTGCTATATTTATCATTCACCGAAATTCCTTCCATTCAGAACACTCAAATCATTTGGACAGGTTCACGCTGTTGAACGCCAGCGACATCTGATACGCAATGAAGACGTCAAGCTTCGGCGTCGACATTGAGAATTTGACTGAGGCTCGAATCTATTTCGCGTTGATTTCGACGTGCAGTTGAACTCTGTGTTATGATGGCAAAATAGGCTAAAAAGTGTTGTAAAGTTAAATTTAAATGAGGAAAAAACATATTTTAAATTGAAATAAACTTGCATAGTTGCTCATTGAACCTTATGTGTGTTATTATTGTGCTCTCTAAGCCCAATATGCAAATATTTAGTATTTTATTTTATAACCATATAGAACAGCAGGCCCAATTTTTTGGGTTTACGACTACTAATGTTCAACTCCGTAGCCTTGTAATTTTGAACCCAATCCAGAAGACAAGGGAACTCCTGGATCAAGTAATGAGAGAAAATTGCCTTCGTGGAGAACTTTTTGATGCAACTAATCCGCATTTGCATTATATGGAGAGGAAAACCTCAAAAATCTCCCATGGTTAGCCTGACGACAAGGGAACTTTAACCCATGATCCGTCTATCACTGATGATATTTTACGTCCGCACTGTAGTTGATGGTAGCCGGGTGCGGAATTCGAATCGACCAGCTATCGCTGGGATCGAACCCGGGTCAATTATTGGATGGCGAACACTCAATTCTCTAGGTCACCAAGGTTCCAAATATTTAGTATTAATATAATTTTATTGGTGGAATATGTAGTTCATGTATTAGTCAACAGATGAGCTGTTTCCATGAACGCTTCAAGTACATGTTATCACCAAATAGAATTTACTGACAATCAGAATTTCGACCATTTTTTGACTATCTAGCATCCTCGTCATCAAAATGAGTGAATACTTTAATTAAATTGCATCACTCAAACTGTGAAATAATAATAAATATACATGCTACAAAAAGGTTACGTGCTATTTCACAAAGGTTTTCCAATTTTTTTTAATTTAGAGCAAGAATATGAAAGAAAATTATTAATCTTATCAATAAAATATATTTGACTAAACTTTCTGGATTGCCTGCAACGCTGTACCTGTGATAATATTTATCTGATAACTTATGGGGAAAAAAAACACTCTGAAATTTAATTTTATCTCGTTTGTTATCAATTTTCATATTAGACATTTATAAGACTTTATTCGACTCACATGTTCGTTGAATTTAGTGATAAATAAATTAAAAATTGTAAAACATAATAGTTTACTAACAGAAATCAAATTATTTAGTTCATATTTAAAGATTGAAAGACATATTCTTCAATCATTACAGGGTCTAGGTTTGCCAGACGATAGTGATAGTGAAATTTCTCCAGCTGTTGCACTGGTAAGTAAAAATAAAAATTAATTTTTTTCTTCGTTCATGTAGTTTTGACTATTTATTGTTTATGCATATATTGTAATTTGAAAATATTATTTTAACTGTGCTAGATTGTTTAAGATTTATAAAAAAAAAAATACATAAACATATTTTAATACATTTCTCGCCTGAAATTAAGATCTTATTAACCATTAACGGTCGTGTGGCAGCTCCCAGCCACCAATCCCCATTAAGAATATCAACAAAATACGACAGCACATTATTATTATATTTCTTGTTAATACTAAGTATCTTAAAGTTAGTTTTATCTTCTGTTACGATACCGCATATAAGCATACGTTTTTACTACTATTTACCACTGCTTAATAGTAAAACTTTCCTTTTTCTAAAAATGTAAAAACACAGCTATTGCAAACAAAAACATTTTTAAGCAATGATTACATTAATATTCACATCACAGTTTAATTAATCAAATTTTTAAATTGTTTTTTTTTATTAGTTAAATCATTTGAATAATTTATTAAATACAAAATGGAAGTATTTTAGCAGCTTACACTATATTATTGATAATAATTGGCTAAATATGTACAAACAAATCTTAAACGCGTTTTTTTTTCTTTTCATATTACGCTAATGATCATAGGTCTGGTTAAAACTTCTGACATTAAGCTTCATACTTAACCGTTGAATATTGACCAAATATCTAAAATTATATTTAAAAAAAAACATTTAACAGTAAAAATATAAAGCTTTCTATATCGTAAAAAATACTTTTTAAGTAAAAAGCTTTAAGTTTTGATGTTGTACTGGATTATGTAGTTTCTACTCGATCTTTAATCTATACTACTTACTAAAACATATGTAACCATCTTTAAAGCATTTTAAATGCAAATGTTGTACATATTCTTTGTTAATATAATACGAATGTTTCTTCATAGTTGAATATAATCTGTTGCACTATGTTTGATTAGTATAATTATCAAACGAGCATTGAGGTTTTGAGCTAACAATGAAGTCGAATCATACTGATTTAAATTTTTGACAATGACAAAATGTTCTTAAATATTATAGAAATTTTGTCCATCTGGATAATTTCTCCTTTCCCCCTAACTAGATCCACTTTCTCGATATTTTATGGCAGTAACCAACAAACTTTTGATAATATAGTATTATTAAACAGCGCAATACTTTTGAAAAAGGAATCGCTTTATTAGATTATGATAAATAGCGTTTGATTACTTTTAAAACTTCTATGAATTTTTCCACAAGAATTTAAAGCAATAAAATGATGCAATTTGTGGTTTTGAGTAATTAATTTAAAACAACGTTTCTCATTATTTAGATTTTTTAAAATTTATCTCATTGCAGTTTAAATTTATGAAAATCTAATTGGATGACGCTAAAAATTTTCTTAAGCGTTAATTGCATGAAAACTAAAAAAAAATAAAATAAATACTTATCAAAAAACTAATAAATATTAAATATCTTTCAAAAACTGTTGAATGCAGATTTGTATAGGCATAATTTTGGGAGAAAAAGATTAACAGAAAATATAAATACTGCGCACTTTATTTATCAAATTCTGATTGGGTGACTGCCTTATGTCTTAGATGTATCGAAATATAGTGTCAAATAGAGTAAATATCAGCCATTTGTGAAAAGGATTAAAAGCATATTAAGAGTTTTTCCACCTCTTCGGCAGTTAAGTTCCAGCGGAAGAGCCTCCCAAGAAAAACACAAACTTAAAGTAATGAATGACAAGTCAAAGGCTGCGGAGTAATTATCTGTTTAACCCTTTGACGCTAATGGGACACCGGTGTTTCTTTTTTATATTTTTTCTGGGGATCAAATTACAAGCAAAAATATATTTTGGTACTTTTTAATTATAAAAAACAGCCTAATAGTTATTAAAAAATCTTTTAGATTATCGGAATTGCATTGAAATATAAAAAAAAAGTTGTTTGAAATTTTTTTTTACATTCATATTCAAATATTTATTAACAATTGATTTTGTAATCAAGAAATTTTAATGGTGAATAATTGTTTTTCTTAGATCAAAATAAGTGCAAATTTAAAAACTATTGTTTAGAAGTAAGCCGTGTTTGAAAGATTTTACCCTTAACGTAGAAAAAGACAACAGTGTTTCATCCTGTGTCTCATAATCATAAATTACTAAAACTCCAAATATAATGTTTTTTACTTGTTTTGATTTAAATTAATACAAAATAATAAAAAAAACTTATGGAAAATATATTTAATAGTTAAAGGGTTAAGCGGACGGGAGAAATAAACCAGGTGGAGAGGAGTGCAAAATCTCTATAATATCTAAGAACATTTTTCCTTCCACAGTTATGATTCGAACTAATTTAATAGTTAATTAGGAACAAAAGAAAAATTTGCTGAGCAGTGGGAATTATTTTCGTTTTTGATCGGTTCAAGTAAATACTGAAAGTTGGATATGAAATTGGTGGGTAGATCTGAGTTTAATAGGATTTTATGTTAATCATTGTTTAAATTTTTATTACAGTTTGCAGACGAAGAATCTTCGATGAGCAGTGGAGCATCTGGCAACATGGCGTCCGAAGAAGTGCCTACAACCTCTGAGATGGCCACCACGCCGGAAGTGGTGTCGCCCATCAAAACAGCCCTCCTCACCTCCCCCTTCCCCAAAAAGAGAACAACCACAACAGCAGCACCTCTGCTCAAATCAAGTGCCATCCTTTCCAAATGCAGCCTCAATTTCGCTAAAGGTAAAGAACACTCTATTATCACCTCATGACGAAGACAGGCCATATACTATACATTTCAGATTGATCACTCATTGATAAAATTGACGGAACATGATTCCAAAATAAGGCACAGCCACACACACGTCACAGCCCACTTTATCGGGAGGACCCATTCATTCATACACTAATTTTGACCTGAACCAGAGAACGATCAATCTCAAATTCAGTACCCCTTAAGGTATTTTTTTTTATCTATATAACCGTCGTTGAACAGACGATTCAATTTTGAGTTCACGACCACCAAAGTTCAACTCCGTAGCCTTGTATTTCTGAACCCAATCCAGAAGACAAGGGAATTCCTGGATCAAATATTAGGAGAAATTTGCCTTCCTGGTGGACTTTGTGATGGAACTAACCCGCATTTGCCGTAAATAGAGAGGAAAACCACGAAAACCTCACACGGTTTGCCTGACGGAAAAAGAACTTTAACCCATGATCCGTCAACCACTGCGGATATTTTTCGTTAGTACTGAGGTCGGTGCGAACCGGGTGCAGAATTCGTATCGACCAACCATCACTGGAATCGGACCCGGGTTACCTCATTGAGAGGCGAGCGCTCTATCCCTTGAGCCACCACGGTTTCCCTAGAAGTATTGATTTGTTATGGGGAACTTGGAGACAATTCCAAATTCGGATGGGTATTACACCACAGTTTTTACAGTGTGAGTTTTAGTCGAATTTTGTTGTTGGTCTTGCCATGCAAAGTGTTCCTGTCCTTCCGCTCTATGTAACACAAATGTAGGAAAGTTTCCTTTAAATAAATGTCCTCCACGAAAGCGAGTTTTAACTTGAATTCTTTGAGTTTATGTTCATAAATCCAATTTCGGAGATAAAATAGACGAAGAGGAAATATAAAGAAATTTAATTATTCCCGTAAATAAGAATGAAAGGGAAAAGCTTCAAACATATGTTATAAACTTATGCATACTTTATTTTATATACTCTTATTTAATTTGTTTTTTTTAATATTATTTTAGGTTATTTGATCAAAATAGATGAATTAGTGAAAGAATTATCTAGGTGAGAATTATTTAAAAACTATATTATTTAGAGTAAAAAAGCAAAAGTGTCTCTGAAACAATTACAAATTTTTAACTAAGATTTTTTTAAAAATATTATTAATAATAATATTTGCAAAAAGTTAGTTAAAAATAAATATAGCTTAAAAAAAATATCTGATGGAGTTTTATCTCTTGCAGAGTATCCAGAACTTCTTTACTATTTATGGTGTCTACGTTTCTGTAAGTAATCATGCCTTTAATGTGGATATTATTAGTTATTTAGAAAATGTTATATCTGAAGCCACTCATTATACAAAAATAGCAAGCAGATATTGTCCCAATATGCGATCCAACTTACTTTTAACTGTTTAATTATTTAACGGATTAATTGGTGGAGCCATTAATATTTTTTGTAAAAAAAATAACGTTTAAAATTATTTTTTCAATATTGTTATACTTCAAACGATGCGATCTAACTTACTTTAAACTGTTTAATTATCTAACGGATTGATAGGTGGCGCATTAATATTTTTTGTAAAAAAAAATAATGTTTAAAATTATTTTTTCAAAATTGTTATATTTCAAACTAAAATTTTTGTGAAAAATGTTGCAGCAATTATTATTGTAATACTTACAAATTATTTTTATGAAGTTTTAATTTCTTTATTTATTTTACTTTATTAATATATTTCTTACTATTTATAAATTATCATTAAAAATATTAAATATATGTTGCTTTTTTTAAATTTAGTTTTTGGCTTTAGTAGATTTTTTAAATTAAAACTGTTTAGAATGATTTATGAGCAGAATTGATCAATACATTAAATATCAATTGATTATCAAAAACTTCAGATTAAAAATATTGAATATAGTGTTTTTTTTATTTTGCATTAAGCAGATTTTTATAAATTAAAATTTCCTGAATTGATAATAACTAATTACCGATTCTTCATTGTTATGAAATAAAATATCTATATAGTTCTTAAATTTTAGTTCAATTCTTACTAAGCATCAAACTTGTGTTGATTAAAAAAATGAAAAATTATGAGTTTTGTTTGTTAAGTTTGAAAATTATGAGAATTGGTTTAAGTTTTCTTATTTTTTTAATTTATTCAATAATTTTCTTAAAATTCTCGAAAAATAGAAAAAAATTATCGAAAAGTAATACTATTCGTAATAGTTATATAACAAAGCTTCCGATTTATTTATTTTTTGATACTTCAATGCATATAAAAAACGATTAGATGTTTTCGGACAGTTCAAGAACATTTGAGGATATATATACAGATTTGAGACCATTTTCTGTCTTCGACGATTTTGAAATTCTTTGAGGGCAACTTTTAAAATTCGAGGTCTGCCCTCAAGATTTTTTGAACGCCTGGTTACCTTAATTTGTGACAAAAAATATTTGTAGAGTAAAATTGCATACACTAATTCCTTTTTTGTGATGAATAAAAAAAATCATTAAGTGAAAACTTGGGCCGTTAATTTATAAAAAATAGATTGTTTTCTATTATTACATTAAAAAAAAGCTGGCTTTATGGTTAAAGCACTGAACTGGCAATGTGAAGAATTAGGGTTCAATCTCCAGAGGCGACCTGAAGCCCACCCGGTTTCAGTTCGATGTGTTCCAGCTTGTCTGTGAAATTAATAAGGCTGACCACATAACCACAATCATGCCGCTGGTCACGAAATTGTGGAACCATGGTCTATGACCCACAACGGACTCTTGAGGCAATGTTTTACTTTACATAAAAAAGCAAAGTTAATAATTACATTTTTAATTAAAACCTTGATATTTCATTAAAATAACTATATTAAATATTAATTATTTTCTATTTAACTACAAATAATGACAATATAAACATATTTTACTTTACCATGATTAACAAAATTATTATTTAAATGACTAATTACTAAATTATTCACTCATTTTACTTTCAGATTAGTAATACTGTTTATTTCCACAACTGTTCTTCTCTACCGAATTCACCTCCTACATCAGAAACTTCTAATTAAAGATGATTTCTACGCCGACAACATTCCAAGGTAAACATTCAATGCATTTCTTTTTTTTCAAAAATTCCGGCTGCCCTGTGATAAAGCTCTATTTGTTAGATTCTTTTAACTGTGAAGTAAACGTGACAAATTCCACTCTTTCAATTTCGTGAAAAATGCCTAGTTTTGTAACTGTTTATTTTTGGAGCAGTTAAGCTAAAATGAATTGAAGAAACGAATTTCTTCAAAGCAATTTTGTGCTTTTCAACAGTTGCAGCGAAATGGTAATATTGCCGAGTAATTCCCCCACAAGATTGAAGGAATCAATAATTCAGCTAGATTTCGGAAACTACGGACCCTAGGGAACCAGGAATTTTGGCGTTTAGTACGTCATACTTAAAAGCTACTTATATTTCATTAGAACAAGATCCAAATTTTCAGAATCTTTATTTACTAAAAGAGTGGGTCCTTAGTAAATAATTTAAATACTTCCAATCTACAGCAAATTAAAAAAATTCTACATTAAATAATGTAAATTAACACTTCAAACAATGTTTCAAACATATGGGGATAAAATGTTAGAGGGAGGAAAGGTAGTTTCCAAGAGAAGAATTTTTTTTTAAGAAACAGTGACGTTGAGCAAATTCTCTTTTTACCTCTTTATCTATTAATAGTATTTGAATTCATAAGGATCCTATCTGTTGTTTGACAAAACCAAGAATTTAAAAAAAAAGAAGTTATATTTGGAATCTAAGTTTTTATTGAGAACTGATCAAACACTATGCATTTAATAAAAACATCAATGCAGTTCATTTATTTATTTTTTTAAAAAAAGTTTTGTTTAATTTTGCCAATTTATTTTATTTTAAATTTTCTTGATGAAGAAATCACACACCCCGTAGGACGTCGCTCAAAATTTTTTTGGGGGGGCGGGCATTTCTCACTACGAATTTGATGCGGTTTTAGAGTATAAGTGGAATTTCTGTGATTCGTTTTAAAATTGTGATTATAATAGCATAATGGTAGATACCGGCAATGGCTCATAACTTTTAATGTAAGGAATACTGGGCTCTTGCCCAAACCTGAAGTGAACAAGAAATCAACTTATAGTGAACAAGAGGTTTTAAACTTTTAATGTTTCTAGCAAACTGTTATGCAATAGTATTTTTGGAGATAAAATTATGGAAATGGATATTAATGAAATGCTCGGGTTTAGACCTATTCGCGGTTTTGTCTGATCTCCGATCATAGTGAAGAGCATTGGTAGCATCGCAATTTAATATTTCACAAGAAATACATCAAAGAACTTTTCATCAAAGCTCAAGAACTTTTTCAATAATGCATATAAAATCTGTTTTCGTTCCCTTGAAATACAACTTTTTTCAACCTAGAAAAAAGTTGTCGCAATTTATGTGTATAGTGACAAAAATAGACTTTATATGTATATTTTATAATCATTTTAATTTCTAATGATTTCAATTTATTCTATACAGTATTTTATATTTCTTTTTGCAGGTTTGAAGCAGTTAGTGAGCTTGTTCCAACAGATTTCACAAATGTAGTTAAAAGCTTAGAAGATAGAATACAGAGTCTAGCAGAGGTACTCATTTTAGTCAGATATTTTTTTGAAAGTGTGTTCTGCTTCCGGGTATAAAATGTCTCCCTATGATGTGGTTTTTCTGGAGGAAAAAAAACTACGCAATCAATTTTCAAAAACTTAAAAAAAATTCTTCAAAATCTTTGTTTTACTACTAATTTTAACACTTTCTGTACTCTAGAATTAAAAAAAGTATTGCATATTATGCTTATAAAACTTGTTACCCAGAACAGGTTTAATGCAAACAAGTTTCTAATATTTAATAATAATTGAATAACTGAGTCCCATTTATCTTCCTTCACTTTCTCTCAAAAAACCAAAAATTCAAAAAAATCGGGACAAAGTATTCCCAAAATATGAATTGAAAAAGTAGTTCTTTAGATTAAAAAAATTATATTGAAAAATTGCCCAATGTTTAAATGCCACGAGACCAAATGCGTTGAAAAAGAGTATTACTATTTAGAATAAAATTTGTTTTTGTTAGATTTCGTAGTCTGGGAGTAAAAATAAATTCTTTCAATAGTCCGCTGTGGACCAGGGATTCATGAAGGTTAGGGCTCAATTTTTTTAAACCAATAAATAGCAATGTGTTCAGAAACAGTATACTGTCCTATCAAAATGACCGATGATTGTGGAAAAAAAATAGGAAATAGAAAAGTACAGTTTATACTGTTTCATGCTTTGGAAAACCAGCCGATACTTTTTAAAACTAGTTACGAAGTTCATCAATAAATGGTACGTAACTGGTTAAAACTATCTTTTCAAAATAACCTTTACTTGCAGTAACGACATGGCAGAATCTGAGAAGAAAAATAGCTAACACGCGGGCTTTTTTTTTTATTTTAGTTAGAATGTGATGGGCAGCACATATTTATAACGTCTTTTATTCCACAAAACTTTATGTCAAAAATCTAATGAAACAAAATGGGAGAATATAGCACACTTGATGTTTGTTTTTCTTCAAGAAATTGGAATAACTTGGACAGAGATAATTCGTATAAACTCTCTGAAAAAGCTGTCGAGGTTTCTTGGCAAACCATCTTCATTGTATTAGTATTTTTGATTTCAATTTGCAACATCTGTGAGATAGATGAAGTCATGTACAGGAATCTTTGATGAGATTTTCAGCTCTGTGTGTAGACTTGGAGGTAAAATGAATTTTCGAGTGCTGGACATTCCTTCAAGGACATTGGCTTCCTCTCTTGCTGTTACTTCTTTCTTTTTATATATCATGTTCCCTGTTACTTTGCATGAGCGTTATTTTGTATGCCATTATAATTTTTTTTTTTTTAAAAAAAAAGGGCAGCACAAACATTTTACCAATTTTGAAACTTTTCAGAACATATCACTTCATTTCTCAAGCAGAACACAACAAACCATACCTTATTTTTCCAATTGTAACTGCATTTCAGTTAGAATGATCCGACACGCAGTGGAAAATGTTTTATATTTTCTTTATTGATGAATGCGATCAATTGACCTTTTTAACAAGTTTTTAAACTTGTTACAACAAATTAGTTTAGTTATTTTTTTTAAATAGAACTCAGCGAACTTTATTTTATTTTCAAATCCTCGGCCATTTTTGAGACAGCCAGAAATAGCTGAATGCCCAAATATTAGATCAGAAATCATTTTGGACAAAGCCTTTTTTTAAGGAGATGGGCTTTACTATACAACATTATGATGTACTAGTACTCTATTTTCAATAAAATATTCTAAATTATTCTTACTGTTTCAGGTTAGAACAACTCTAGAAAAACTCGTAGCTAAGGCCAATGTCCGAGAAGTGCCTAGTACACCCATTTCTCAATATGGTACGTGATGAGACCAGGAAGGATGTTTCTGGAATGGAAGTTTTATTTTTGGGATTTGTAAATAAACTGAACTTGTTGAGAGAATGAGAGATAATCCCTCTCTTATGAAACTGCAATACATACCGTCACTCCACCGACAAGCTGGTCTTGAACATGGAGTGTGTGTATGCTGTTTGTTGTGCTTTTTTTTGTTTAGATATTTTGAAAGTTTAAAAAAAATATGAAGCAATTCTTTTACAATAAAGAATATTTAAAAAAAAAATTAGTGTCTTGATTTATTTTTAAACACCTGAAACAATAAATAAGATTGAAATTCGCCACACATTGAACTTTCTACAACAATTTAAGTAATAATGGGATACAGAAGTCAAGAGTCCCTACATCTAAATATAACAACCAGCTTTAAAATTATCCCCACTAGAGTTGCAAAAAAGAATGACTTCAATGTGATGGATATGGATACCTCCTCCATGAATTAATTGCTAATTCTACTGTGAAACTTTATTTAGGTTTCTCAACTGATAACAAGTTGTAACCCGTATGATGTAACTCAACACTATACTTAGAGACAGGATATATAAAAACATACAACTCAAACCCAAAGAGTGGGACACCGTCATAAACGTAGACCCACGAGAAGAATTCATGTCATAATTTTTTTTTTAATATGTTAATAGAACTATACAAAATTTCAGAGCTCTAATATATTGTAAATCCAATGATACATTCTCTCTTCAAATATGTTAATGAACTAAGTAAAAAAAAAAAATTAAAAAAAACTATAAGAAAAAATTTTACAATATATAATCAAGAATTTACTGCTTTAAATTCACACAGACACACATATATATATTCACAGGGTGCATAATCAGATTTTTCATCAAAAAATAAGCAGCTTTTAAGCACTCAAAAGATATTTTAAATCACTTTCCAAAAAAAGTACAGTAACAAAAAAATTTCAATCGTTTAAAGTACTTAATTTATAATCATAAAACCAATAAAATTCAAAAACATTTTCAGACACTTTACATAATCATAAAATAACTAGTTTCTGACAAATATTGTAGAGAAAATTATGAAAATCATGTATTTTTTGAAATATAGAAAGACTATAAATACTGCAAAAAAAAATAAAAATAATAATAATAACCTCCTTTTAAAAGATAGAAAATTAAGTACTTTCAGCAAATCCCAAATAAAAAAGCACCTTTCAGAGCTTTAAAAAAATAAGCACCTTTAAGCACTGTTTAAAAACGCTACGCACCTTGTGACAAATGCAAGTGACACTAAAAAATGAAAATATAACAAATATTAAAAAGAAATTTACTAAGCTGATTATAAATGGGAGATTTATCTTCTCTTATCAATTACACTATCACTTGTCAATAGTTTTCAAGATTACAATGAGTCGAAATGTAAAAATAAAAGATCAAAAATACAAATGTAACTTTTGTTTTTTTTATTTAATGAAGTACAACAAGTATGTAAAAATCAATAAAGTTCTCATGAAATAATATATGATGTTTTAATACATGCTTTTGATGAACAAACTTTAACGTCTATAAGGATGATAACCTTGACCTCTGCCAGCACTGTTCTGATTATTGTAACCACCCCCACCTATAAAAATACAACACACACACCTTTAAGAAAGAAGCTTATAATGTGCTAATGCAATACATTTTCATAATAAGAGTAAGACATGGTTTAACGGACATAAAGATGGCAATATATTTTCCTCTATCAATCAGCAATTTGCCAGATAGCAAAAATCTGTTATGCATTATTAAGTTAGGTACAATGAACTCTGTTCTCAGGGATGAGAGTAGTCAGAAAGTAAAAAAGAGGAAATCCAAGAAGATTTAAGATATATGTATATGTATAAACAAAAATTTGACAAAAAAAGTGCGCTTTTTTAACTTGTAAACCATGTGATTATAAATCCCGATATGAGGCTTTTAAATCACGTAAATATGAAACTCTACATCGAATTTAAAAAATGCGAAAATACAAATCATGATGCGTAATTCTTAGATCACGATACATAATTTTTAAATAGCGTGATATTACAACCGCAAAAACGAATCACGACATTGGATTTTAAGCTCGCGTGAATATGAATTGCTACATGGGGTTTTAAAAACTTGTAAATAAAAATCGCGATGTTGGTTTTTTAAATCTCGTAAATAAGAATCGCAATGTACAATATTTAAATCGCCTGAATTAGAATCGCATTGTTCAACTGTTAAATCAGGCAAATACGAAAATCGATGTTTGATAATAAAACCGCGATTTTAAAAATGCATAAATACAAAACACGATATTGGGTTTTTAATTCTCGTAAATAAGAATCATAATGTACGGTATTTAAATAGCGTAAATAAGAATCGCAATGCGCAACTTTTAAATCAGGTAAATGCGAAAATCGATGATTGATATTAAAATTGCGTGAATAAAAATCGAGATATTTGGGATCTCTAAAAGGCTTGTTTGTATTGTTCTTGTTTAGACATAATAAATAAAAATTTACAAGATTAACTGAATGAGCAAATAAATATTTTCACCGCAAATCCACCTCTATTTTCTTCTTCTTTTTTTTTTTGTTTACACGCCAGCTACGCCAGAAGCAGCGACGTCTGAATTACGTAAATACGAGCTATCCCGCCGACGGATAAAAAATACGGAAAATCTTATTTTCTGTGCGTGAAATCGGAGAAAATAGTCATAATTTTTCTGCTCTCATCTNGCTTAACTAAATTACTAAACGGTTGGTCAAAAAAAAAATAGGGGTTAATGACAATTGTGTGTTCTATCCCAGCTTAATATATAAGGACCAATTACCAATTTTTAGAAAGTATGGAATTAATTTCAGAAAAAAATGCGTGTATTTTTCCTGTGTTTTGTTTTAAAGCTCATAAATAAGTTTTAACTTAGATATCTTGCTTTTAATCTGAAACTTTTTCAAAATGCAACAAAAAAGATTCCCTCAGAGAAACTAAGTAATTTTCTAACACATTTAATATCCATATTGAAAGACTCCAACTTGAGAATTTAGGAAAGATCTAAACAAATAACTATTACTTACATAAATATACCATTTAAAAAAAGTGCAAAACATACTAACCATTTCCATTATTTTGTTTCTGATAGCCTCCACCTCCTCCATATGATTTTGAGGGTCCATACGATGAATTACCCTGATAGGCATTAGATGCTACAAAAGAGAAAATACTGTGTAAAAAACATATATAACAATGCACAGAGAAAAAAACAACACTTCGAATAAACTTTGATCTAGTAATTAAATTGCAACAGTGATTCAGATTTCATAGACTTAGAGAAACACTGAAACTTAAATTTAACAATTGTTCATAAAACAGAAAATTTTTAACTTAAATTGCAATCTCAGCCTCATACAACCTCAAGTATTGTCAGTCAGAATTGAACTGCATGCTTAAGAAAGGCGGTATGAACAAAAATAAACCGGATGGCCGTGGCCTCTCAAAATTACAATTAATAATAGCACTACAAATCTTCATGTAAGAGACTGCAACCGCGGTTCAAGAATAGCAAGGACTTCGAAAAAATGTATGCACATTAATTATTAACTTTAAAAAAAGTACAAACATACTTTCTCTTGTTAAACATACCTTGTATTTATGGATTTGAATTTTTTACGATAAAAAAACCTGTTAAGAGTAAAATGTGACTCCAGTAGTTTTTTTTAGGAGTGTGATAGCCATTTTAGTACCCTTATGTTCATACTACTTCCTATTGTAAATAACACATTAAGTTAAATCTTCATTTGATCATAAGTTTAAAAAATGTTGCTGTTATTACTCATTTTTCCACCATATACATATTAAAGTATGATGAAATAATCAAGGCATATTACCAATATTTTTTTAAGTGGATATTTACAGGGCGATGAAAAATTACCAATACTCAGCTGACATAATATTGTAATAGATATTTCCTTGGTATATAAAAGCTTCATAAAAAAAATCATAATTCCTATTGTGCCTTTTATACATTTGTAAGTAACTATGAATTTTGATTATTTTGTAACAGATTCATCGACTTTTATCAACGATTTTAATCACAAAACTGATTTAAAAAAAAAAATAATAATTCCAGATCCATGCAGAAGAAGCTTTTCTGATTATTCAGACTAAACTTTATAACAATTTAGCATAATTAATCCTTCTAAACCTGCATGTTTTTGTTAAATAAACCAGTTTTGTAAGATCGATTAGCTAGAAAGTTTCTTTTTTAAAAGTCAGAACTTTCATAATTTGGTCAAGAAGATTTCACTTTATATAGTATCGTGAAAATTAATAGGAATACCTCCATAAGATCCTGAAGCTCCAGGTTTATCTTCATTACTCATGCCAGAAGCTTGAGGATAACCAGGAGATGAATAATTAGGAGCAGCAGGTTGTTGACCATAGCCTGCTGCAGCTCCAGGAGTGGGAGCTGCATTCCAGTTATTGCCAGCAGGTGCAGCTGCTTGTGGATATCCATAACCCATTCCACCTATTAATTAAAATATAGCGAATCATTGATAAGCATTAACAGTTTTGATTACAAATGTATGCTTAATATTTTAATGCTTAATTTTATTTAAAAACAATATTGCATCAAAGCATTTAATATTTCTGAAGTGGATCAGGAAACATTTTTAAAAAAACATTCTAAATTAAACTCTTAGGAGAACAAGTCTTTCTTCATTACTCATAAATTTAAACGATATGTTTAATGAATTCCATATCACTTTAATCCTAAGTTGGTTTTTATGTTTAGTTTTCTTTTTTTATGGTTAAATAACACTTCATATACATTACTATTTTATTATTTATGAGGATAAAAATTTTAATACCAATGAGATTGTATTTTTTAAAATAAAAAATCCTAATTTTAAGAATATATTTACAAATTATAATAAAAAATAAATTTCTTTCAACTTGAATCAATGTTTTTTCATAAAATCAGTACTAAAATTCCTATTCTTAGAAAAGAACATGCAATTTAACTCATGCCAACCATAACACAAGTGCAAAGTGAAAAATATGCAGTGGGGTTATAAACTGAAAGTAAAAATTCCTGAAGAAAAAAATGATGAGGAATATTATAGGTTACTTAACACCAAACTAAACAATCTCTTAAGAAATTTTTAGGGGCACAACTAAAAACTGCCAGCAAGACAACAGAAAGGAAAAATATTGGAATATTAGCAAAATTTTCATATAAACAAGCAGTCAAGAAATTAAATCTAATTATTAAAATGAGTGTCTTAATCCATGTTCCAATTGCTTCAACTTAAATAAAAAAAGTTTTTTTTTTAATGCTTTTATAAAAATATAAGAATTTTTTTTAAAATAATTGAAATATTAATTTTTCCAAAATTTTTCTATTAACTTTTCCAAAATATTTTTTTTTCCAAAAGTAATTTAAAACCAAAATAAAAATGATACAAGAAGGGCAGAAAAACTAAATTTATTTTGTTCTTTTTACTAGAAGCCCATCAATAAGTTATATAGCTATTTAAATACTATGAATAAATTATGCTTTTTAAAACAATCTAGTCTAATTTAATACCTTAAAAAGCATTCAATATTTTATACTCGTTTAATAAATGAATTAGGAAAAAAAATTGAAAAATACATTCTTGCAGATTATGCACATAAAAATGATTTGGACCAAAAATAATACACAAATATCTTAAAACAAGAATTTCTTAAATAAAAAGGCTGTAAAATGAACTTTTATAGAACTAAAACATGAACAAAAATAACTGCACACAATAAAAGACAATGCTTAAAAACTATTTTAACAAAAATCAAACAGTTTTTACATATCAGACTAGAAAAGTGCAAAATTATAGCAAAATTTCGAATTAATACCATAATTCCCGTAAGGTTGCTGTTGTTGTTGGTATTGCGGGTTTGGAGCGGCATTATATGGCACTGGGCTCTGTCCATAAGGGGTAGCAGCAGGAGCTCCATAAGGCTGATAATTCCCATATGCATTGCCTAAGAAGATATCATACAATTATATTGAGAAAATGTAAATGGTTTTATTAGAACGGGGAAAAAAGTAGTTCCTTTATCATAATAAACAGTACAACTTTTTATAAATTGGCATGTTAGTGTAACCAAATATTAATTTAGACTTTATGACAATTTAAAACTATAAATAAAAAGTATATTTGGAATATTGAATTTAGTGCAATAAAGATAATAAAAATACTTCTAAAGCATAGATTTAATAAATCAAAGAGCATTAATACAATTTAATCTAGGTGGCAGAAGCTAATGAAAGACAGTGTTTTCACTACAGAGAGAGAACGCGAGAATCTTGCATATTTTTTTCTTTTCTCGTAATAAAAAATTATTAATGTGAGAAGTTCGCGCACTCTATTAATCAATTTCAAAATGTGCGATATTTTGGAAAAAAATTCGTCTTTTGCCATTTTGAATAAAACCCGTTTCACTTTTCCTCCTTGATCTTTCATTATTTTGAACATCGGTTCTAGTTATCTAGTTTCCCTATTTACCAGTATTGTTCAGAACNGAATTTTGGAAAAAAATTCGTCTTTTGCCATTTTGAATAAAATCCGTTTCACATTTCTTCCTTGATCTTTCATTATTTTGAACATCGGTCCTAGTTATCCAGTTTCCCTATTTACCAGTATTGTTCAGAACCAATGCGAACAGCAGAAACCTCCCCCCCCCCACCGAACCCCTTTCAGAACACATTTCTCTGCAACCACATGATCACCGTAGGTAAGGTTTCTTCATGTAAGATGTTTATATTTTTTCTGCATGAATGTAAGATGGACAAATACCTTGTTAGGGCAACATCTTCTACTTCGTAATGGACAAATGAAAATGAAACAAATGTTGGTAGAAACGGTCAAAACGAAACAAATATGGATATTTTTCAGCCAAATAAATACAATAGCTGATGAAAAAGTAGATATAGAACATTTTCCATATGATTATGCAGCAAAAATATTCAATTAGAAGATGTTAAAAATGTATTATAATTAAAGTATTTTTTTTCCAAGTCAATTCATGTTTTTTTAATTTTCAGAAATCTCACTTAACTTTTTGAAATCTCACCCTGTCTTTGAGAAAGGGTGAGAAATTCTCTCCCATTTTTTTTCTGTAATGAAAACACTGAAAGAATACATTAAATTAGGATTTCTAATTTTTAAACCTTGTTTTTTCATGAACTTAACCTTAATTAAAAAAAATTCATTTTAAGAACAAATTTATCTTTAAAAAATCATTTTTATTTACAATTAGTTTTTATTTTTCAAATTTTCTTTTAATGATTTTCAACATTATTTATACGACACTTACACAAAGTAAAAAATTAAATAATTCTTATTATTTAAAACTTATTATAAAAATTTTGTAGCAAATCTTCAAAAAAATAAATAAATAAATAATAAATTCTGGAGAATTATGTTAAGCAATTCAAGAAACAATGTAAGTGCTTTACAATAATGGTGAAAAGTGGCTTAACAAGTATATTGATTCTATCACTTATGGCATGTGGCGAAAATATATTTTCAAAAACTTTCATAGAAGAAAATTTACTTTTAGAAAAAAAAAAGAATTTTTTATATTTTTTATTTGCAATGTGTATAGCTAGTTTAAAAATACTAAATATATAAAAACCTCAATCTTGAATTTTTTATTGTTTACATTGATTTTTCTATTGTACAACAGAATTCACGTCTCACTGAAAAGCCAACAGCTTATCACAGAATGTGTTACATTAAAAGTTTTTAAAATTTCAACTTTTGGAAAAAAGTTAAGCTAATAAATACCTCCTTGCATTCCAAAAGGTTGATTCCAATTTCCTCCTTGATAACCAGGACCACCTCCATAAGAACCTGGAGGACCACCGTTTGGAGAGCTCCCACCAAACTGTTGATTGCGTCTTGAATTATCTCTTGGTTCAGCTCTCTTGCATTCCACCTTTGGACAAGAAAAAATAAATGCTGTTAACAAGATTGAAGAAAGGAAATCACGGAACAAAAAGATTTTTTCTCATCACGAATGTCTTAAGCATTTCAATAGGAAAAATACCTCAAATAGGCCTACAAATCATATACTATTATAAAAAAAACTTACTTACTCTGATAATATATGATTCTACTATGATCTTTGATTTTTTTTCCCTTACCAAAATATAAATTGCATGATACTTGTTTAATTAAAAAGTTACTTAAAATATCAAATTAAATATGTGACAAAGAGAATAAGCAATAAAAATATAATTAAATTTTTCAAACTTTTTAGCAAAACTTTCTAGGATAATAGAGAGATAATTTAAAATAGGTATTCTAAACCTATTACCAAAATGGTATTCTAAAAACGAGTCCAGTGATACTAAATTTAGAAATAAGTATTTTGTTTCTCTGTTAAAACAAATAAAACTCAGAAAATTAAAATTAATTAGCATCTGTTCCCTTTATATTCTGCTTCCCCATGAATAACAAGGAGAGCAAGAATGCACTTAAGTTGAACATGGGTTAAAACATACCAATAAATTTTGGCAAGAAAACTATTCAAGTTTTCGAAAAAGCACTTATTAAGTAATTTTATTTATATGCAAAAGAACAGGAATGTGAACTTCTAGCAGTAATACACAATATCAACAATGAAACAGTAAATTAAATATTTAAGGAAAAAAATTTTTTAAAAAGTCTTAATCATTAAAATTAAAAGGTTCAACATATTTATTGCAAAGACCAATATTAAAATAATAAAACAACCACTGATAATTTACAGTTGTTTTCTATAATGGAATAAGTAAACTAATTCACTATTAAAATAATTTAATATTTGCATTTATGTTGAGTGAAATTTTTTTTCTAAAGTTTCCTTAAATCATTTCAACAAAAATAAAAAATTACAAATCCCTTATTTAGTTTTCACTATAATTAAGAATGCTGCATTGAAAACATATGCCTTATCATACACTAAAAGAGATTTGTTAGATGGAAATAATAAATAACTTACTCCATTAACAATGAAAAACAATTTAAATATTTGTACTTAAACAATATGGTAGCAATTTGTTATTAATTTTTTCCAGAAAATTTCTTGTAATTAAAGATAAATGCAACAAATCAAAAAGTTCTGGAATCATATGAATATAAAAAGTAAATGCAACAATTTTATTCATATTATTAATGTATTATCATGAGGTTACAAAATAGTTTGCAATGTCAATAAAAGTCATACATAAAGTTTACAAAGTAGCTTCGAAAGAAATAAACCTGCTTTCTTACAAACCCACACTATTTAAACCGCTCAGATTTGTTAAGTTCATCCACTTTAATATTATTTCAAATTAATGATAAATATGTTAAAGTTTATTTTTAAAAAAAAATTATGACGATATAAATGCAACCTATAAACACTTCAATGTCTTAAAATATTCAAAAAAATTGTATAAGCAAACATGTTTAAACATTAGTTTTGCTATTTCATGAAAAAATTCTAATATATATAAAATCTAAACTTAAAATATCTTAGCCTTAACAATACTTAAGACTAATATTGAAGAACACTATTAAATTCTAATTGTTAAGTTACATTATATAATGTCAATTCCAAAAATATATTGTTAGTAAAGAGGCAGTTCTGAAAGCGCTTTACTTAAGGCCTGGTAAAATATAACCGACACAGCCTATCACTGAAAACCGGAGGAAAGTAGCTAGAAAATAAAGACGTGATGACTCCCAAATACAAAAATATACAAAAGAAACAATAAATATATACTAAATAAGAAACTACACCTGCTTCCCGTTGATGATCACAAAGCGCTCTGCACATGCCTTGTCAATGCTGTCTTCAGAATCAAAAGATAAAAATCCAAAGCCTAATTTCAAATGAAGCATAATCTTACATATCTACAACTACAGAAAACATGGAGTGATAGGCATTTATTCATTTTTCCTGGGTAATATAGATGGATTAGTCAGTTAACAAAAACATTAGAATAAAATAACACCAGGCCGTTTCTAAAATTCAAGCCAATATTTCTCACCATCTTAATAAAAAACCACCGAGAAAAATTGTTTAATGTTAAATAGTTATAGCAATGGGTCAGAAAATTATAATCACTTCAAAACAAATAAATTGATAGCGATAAAACAATTGAATATTCAACTCAAATATTTGTTAGTTAATTTTAATTTTAAGAACAAAAAAAAATTTATTACTTATATGACTGATTACTATTAAGGACAATTATCTCCGCTTCCCACAATCAGAAAAGATTTTTTCGCATTACCTAAATAATTTCATTAGTAAAAGATGTACATAATCTGAACAAAAAATAAATATAACAGAAGGCAAATATTTCCCTTTTTGTGTCAAAAATTGTTCAAAATCATATTTTACCAAAACTTTAATTATAATCAATGAATAATGCTTTGAAGCATAATATATTTTTACAATGAAAAAATGGTGGGGACAAATAATATAAGATTTAAATGATAAAATATTACAGCTTTACATGGAAACAAAAATATAAATAAAATCAAAAGATAAGACGTTGCTATTCAAAGTTAAGAAATTGCATTTAATAGTTTTTAATATTCTTAAAATTTTTTCTCTTATTAAACAAATATTTTCGAGAGAACAAGAAATAAAAATACAGCACATTGATCATTTAAATTACTAAAAAAAACAAAAAAAAAAAACAGCTATAATACAAAGCGAATAAAATTTCTCATACTTTAAATTATTAAATTTCTTACACTTTAAAGAAATTTAATAACATGCTGATAAAATAATTGTAAATTTGTACCAAGCATTGTAAATACTCATTCAAAGAATTATTTAATAAGGTGGAAAGAAATAGATGGTAAGAAATATTGTCTTATTTTTTAATTATGATAGGACTTGTCCCATCTACAAAAAGCGCAATTTAAAGCTTAATAAAGTAAAGATAGTATAGCTTGCCCAAAGGCATACATACTATGCATGTTAGTTTAGATGAAAATAAACTGTAATATTAAACTTTAAAAATAAAAACTATTATGAAGGTTTTAATAGCAAAAAAGTACTCTTTTAAGCTAATGATTAAATTAAAATTTCATAATTGTAAAAAGTTCATTAAAACGATGATTAACCAACAATAATTGAACATATGTTGAAATATCTAACGTTAAAATATAAGTGACCAGAGCATATAAAAAATTATTTAAAAAAAAGAGTAAATCTCTAAATTCTTAACAGATTCCCCAAATGAAGTAAACACTGATGAAATAAAAACTATTCCATTGAGTAGTAACCATAATTCTCGTAAAATTAATTTTTAAATTTTTTTTTTAATCAATTATTAGCCAACGGACATAGGCTGTTTAAAGCTTTCTAACACAGACCTGTTTAAATTAAAGCAATCAGAATGAAAAACAGTTACTTAAGCCTATTAACAACTAGATAGAGAGCTTTGAACATTAAGTCTTTTTAAATAACATGCATAACTGAAAAATATTAATTCTAATATTAATATCATTATTAATAAATAATAATTAATAATGATGTTAACATTGTGTCAAGATATGCAAATAGAGATGATGGTAATGGTAACTAACGCTACTGTTATTTTACCGAAACAACCAAAGCTGAGGCGACCATCCGATCTGTGACGTTTCTTAATTTCCAGCAAAAATTGGCTTACATAAGTACTATTTATTTAAACAATCACTAGTTTAAGCTACTAAAGAATGCCGAAATTAAAAAAAAAAAAAAACTCATACTAATATTCCCTTAAAATAAGTATAAAGTGTGAAAGTGTTTAGTATTTTAGACATATTTGTGGTGTGAATATTAAAGAAGTATAGCTGCTGGGTAACTAATGTATAATTGTTGGGTAATATACCTAACTTCAAAGTAAATTTATTTACTTTTCATCAAAACTCACTGTCACTGAAAATGTATGAACTACTACTAATAATATTCTTTATTGTGGCACAGTAAATTACAACCTATGCTCAGCAGCTTCATAACACATTCAAAGGAGATATTTTCAGAGTGCTGGTCTACTATAAATGGCAATAAACCAAAATAAAAAGCACATACAGATTAAAAATTGCTCTTTACAGTTATACTTATACCAACCGAAAAGTAGTTAACATCAAGGATTTAAAAAACTAAAATTAGATTGGAAAAATGGAGAACTCACTGAATATAAAAAGGAAATATTCATCACACAAACTTGGAGATGATTTTTAAAAAGAAGCATTAACACATACGAAATCCAAAATTTCTGCATGCACACATTACAATTTCTAGAAACAATTTAGCATCATGGAAACTACAAACAACTTTGAAGAAATCAAACTAAACAACTCACCAACAAAGTCAGCTTGAAAAGTAGAGTAATACTAAAATATTCTCAGATCAGACTCAAAGGAATAAAAAAAAAAAACTAATCATTTTAAAAGAAGCTAATAATTTTCCCCCCAATTTATTTATTGTTGTTTTAGCTTCTTTTATTGAGAAAATTGTAACTGAAAAGTCAAACCAAAATTTGAAAAAACATTTGTTTTCAAATCTATCATTAGAAGGAGAAAATGGCACATTGAACCTCAATTGAATACTTAAAGAATTTTTTTGGATGAGAAGAAGTCACAAAATAAGAATCAAGACACAATTCAAATGGTTTCAACTGTAAATTACCATTTTTTTATCACTGAGGCATTGAATAAAAAAATGCACTAGGTACAAGGGCTCAAAAAATCAATTTTTAAGGCCCTACCAGGCATATTAATCTTCAAAATGTATGGCAAAACACCTTCCTTAAATACATTTAATAATAAAAGCATGCCGCTGTACCTATAATTAGTTTGTTGAGACAAACGGGAGTAACGTCAAACCTTTTATTTTAAGAATAAATCAGAAGTATCCTTAACCAAGAAGTACTCGTTTTCAGTATTATTAACAAAAAAATATTAAGTACAAATAAGTATTGATGGAGTTAAATACAGAGCCTTACTATTAACAAAGAAGCATTATTATCAAGATTGTTAAATATCGGCAAGCACATATCCCTCAATAAGTTACGTTAAAAGAATGTTGCTATTTTATTAGCTTACATATCACAATTTCAACTCTTATAATAATTATTTTTATGCATAGTGATTGGGATATTTTCAAAAAGAAGAACTGGCTCAATTAGGAAGTTGAAAAATAATAAGCTTGCATTGTTTAATATAGTCGTACTTATATAATTTAAATCAGTTACATGTAGATGTCAAATAAAATACATTTTCCCCTTTTGTCTCTTAGGGTCTGTTTATCCATGCTATCCTGCATCACCAAGATTTTAAGTAGAAAAAATTTAAAGGTACTTAATTGGTAACTAACAGTATTTCTGATTAAACTTTTACGTGACCAATCAAGCATTGATATTTAGACTTTTCGCAGATTTAATGTAACTTTCAATAAATTTAAGCCTAAAAGTCTATCAAAGTTCACAAATATGATCATAAATGTAGCAGCAACAAATGTAATAACATAAAAATGTATAGTTCTAATTGAATTTGATAAAGTCTTGAAAATAATTAAACAAAGGGTATCACATAGCTATAAATTTCTAGATTACTTTTTAATAGTTTAACCAGTAATTCTGGTTTATATCATAAAAATCTGGTTTATATCATGACAGACTTCTTTTTAATTGAGAGTTAATATATTTATATTTTAATTTAGTACAAGTTATTTCCAGTTTGTTCCAGAAGGAACAGAGTGTCCTATATATTAATAAATTTAAATAATAGGATCTATATCCCCCTCTAAATTTTCGTATATTATGTAATAATAAAACAAAATTATAAAATAAATGACATTAACAAAAAGGCAAAATCTTTAATCTTTATATAATACTGAGCTGTTGTTTAAACAAACAGGGTTACGAGAAAATAGAGATTGTGTTAAAGTTGGAATTTGAAATTTAACTATTTGTTATCTAGTTTCACAAAAAAATATATACATGATAACTGAAAAAATAATTTGAAAATATTTTGAAAATTTAATCAATCTATACTAATGGAAGCAGCAAATTGTTATGTTATAAAGTTCATTAAAACTTCAAGTTATGAGCAAAACTATAAATATTTTTCTGCCTAAATAGCACATAACATAACCTTCTAACATAAACCTAATTTAGCTTAATATACATGAAAAATAGATAAAATTATAAAAGTAAACAAAATGATAACTTCCCCAACTGCAAGAAAAATGAATAAATGATAAATTTAAAAAATATAATAAGACAGCAAACATTTAACATTTCGCAAAATATTTATTTTAATTCAAAGTAAAAAATAAAAAAAATGAGCCCAAAGTTAGCCAGATAACAAAGCACTTAATAAATACTATTAATAATGCAAGAGTTATCACTTCAGTCATTGTAATAGAAATTAAGATTTTTCACACTTATTACCCCTCTAAAAATAACTAAATATTAAAATTTTTACAAGAAGTAGTAATTAAAAGAAGCTATAAAAAAGCTAACTCTAAAACATTACTGATTATTTAATGTAAAAACAATATTTTGGGAAGTTATTTTAAATTAATTTGATTTTAACTAGGATGGTATATTGACAATATACCGAAATATAAGATCTTAAAATTAAAGAAGTAATTAATAAAATAATTTTTAAAAAAAATCTAAGTTAAAAACAGATTTGTTAAAAGATTAAGTCAAATAATGAAATAAGATTTTTGTTCCACAGCAGAGATGTTATATTTAACATATCTAAGCAAAATATTTAGTTAACAGTCATATTTATTGGATAAATACATAATTTATATAGTAGTAAAACACAAACTAAAGGCAAACAAATTCTAACAAATACTTAAGTTAGCTTATCTTTTGATACGTAAAAAATACATTATCAAAAAATATTTTCATAAGCAACCTTATTCTTGCAGAATTTATGCAAATGCAATAACTTTTGCTCTGTGGTATACAGAAAATTTTTATTTAACTGTATTAAGCTACTAGACAAAATGAAAGAGGTCTTTTAAACGACTTATTAGAATCATCAATAAATACATAGGTATTTAAAATAGCATTCGCAAGTAAGGAAATTGCACTTCATTTATTTAAAAAAAAAGTCTTATTTATAGTATGCATAATCTATTTTTACATTATTAGATTCATGTGTAAAATTAAACTTCTTACAAGGAAGGTAACTAGATAAAACTTCCGTAATATTAAAATAAGAATAGAAATTAATACGATGAGGATATAAATACTCATTTGATCTGAATTGTATAATTTTTTAAAACATATCCTTATAATGAGTTCTAAACAACTCATCACAATTCTTATAATGAGTTCTAAACAACTCATCACAATATAATGTTAAATGATATTTAAAATTTACCTCTACATTTCTTTGTTTCTTGATCACACATAATAGATACTTGAGTCACCTGCAAAAATAATGCAGAATGAAAATCAGTTACAATAACACAGATTATACAGGAAGCAGTGCTGCTAAAAAATTCTTTAGGACAGTTCAATATTATACATAAGACAATTTTATAATATGTTTATGGTTGAAAAATTATTAATATATGAAAGTATATTATGAATTAAAAAAATACTTATAACAAATATAATAATGTTGTAAATGTTAGCAGCTTAAAAGTTTCTTAATTTAGTTAATTTTCAATTGGATTCAGTTCTCATAATGAATTGAATTTAAAAATGTAAACAAAAATCATGGAAAATTATTTTCAAAAAAATATTAACTATTAATTTTTTAATATTTTGTGAAAATTCAAAAATAAAATTTGTTTCAATATATTTCTAATTAAGTAATTCACATGGAGTCTCAATAACAGGGTGCATAGCCAAATCTTTGAATCAAAAATAAGCACTTTTTAAAAACTTTTCAAGCACTTTACAAAAATTTTCAAGCACTCAAAAAATTCATATTCAATCAATATTATTGAAAAACAAAAACTTTTTATAAAGAGTTTTACGTTAAAAAAAACCCAAAAAGAAACGGACGTAAATCAAAACAATCAGTACTTTCCCACATNACCGGTGGAAAAGAAATGCAGCCAAAATTTGGGAGCCACGTAAGAGAATTATATATAATAGATGTTTATGGTTGAAAAGTTATTAAGATATGAAAGTATATTATGAATTACAAAAAATACTTATAACAAATATAATAATGTTGTAAATGTTAGCTGCTTAAAAGTTTCTTAATTTAGTTAATTTTCAATTAAATTCAATTCTCATAATGAATTGAATTTAAAAATTTAAACAAAAATCATGGAAAATTATTTTCAAAAAAATATTAACTATTAATTTTTTAATATTTTGTGAAAAATCAAAAATAAAATTTGTTTCAATACTTTTCTAATTAAGTAATTTACATTGAATCTCAATAATATTAAAAAAAAAAAAATGCTGTTAATATGTGCCTAAACATTTTTCTATAAAAGTAATTTGGTGGATTCTCCTTCAGTTCACCAAATAAAAAAAATTTTAAAACTTCAAATCTTCACCATCCTGTAAGTTTGTAACTGTAAATTAAAAAAAAAGAAAAGTGAATGATATTTTAATTTATCACTGGAGAATTTCGGGGAATCGAGACACACAAAAAATATTCTGTTACAAAAAATAATATCAAATGTTAGAAACATTTGTATACATTAGTGGATGGTCCCCAAGTTAAAAACTTGGCAATTTTTAGAGTATAAAAGCTTTACAATAAGATTAAATAACCAATTCTTTTTTCCTCTACAATTATCCGTAGCGACTGATGAAAATGTTCTGAGCAATTGTTAAAAAATGAGATTGGTGAAGAATTCCCTCAAAGTGAAATTACTTTCATTTATAAACCTTAAAAAAAAATTTTTTTTTTGGCAATCAAACAATTTATTAGCTTAAATTCGAATCCTAATATTGAGAGCAAGATAATGTAAATATATTTACACCTTTTTGCACTATATTACTACTATTTTTTTTAATTTTACTCTCAACTACTATTGCGCAATACTTAAAAATTAGATAATAGCACCCCTAGGTTATATATATTTTTTATTCTTGAAGGTATACTCAATATTTCAAAATAAGGAATATAATTAAGAACTGGAAAATAGAACCAGGCAAAAAAAAACAAACTAATTTGACTTTTGAGAGACTTGACATTTGTATTACTTTATTATTAAACAAAATTGAAGTATATAAAGATTACTTAAATACAAGACCATAATGGTCTTTTTTCAATTTGCAAGAGAGTATAATTATTTTATTAGTCAATGAAATAAGCTTTCAGTTGTATTTCATAAAATTATAATATAGTTATGAAGAAAATCAAATTTATCTCACCTTACCATACCGAGCCATGGCAGATCGAATATCAGTTTCTGTGATATCAGGGGGAAGGCCTCCTAAGAACACTTTACCTGGATTTGGTCCCTTCTTATTCTGAAAATAAAACAAATTAAATAGAAGAAATAAAAAAGAAATCCAGCAATTAAGATGCAAACAAATTTATTTTCTAATATATTGTTTCACTAAGCAATAAAAAAAATTTTATTTTTAAAAATAATTTAAAACATTTTATTAAAAATACAAGCATTTTAATTTCAGTATAATGTATGCACTTTTTAATTTTTGCTTTACAAAATAATTTATATGCACACAAATTTAAGACATTAAAAACTGTTTTAAAAGAGCATATGTTTCTTTTAAAGTTAATCCTAATTGGCTTAAATATTATTCTTTTTCATACTGATATTAACTAGAAGTGAAAAACTTAAAAACAGTTTCTCACACAAAATTATAGAGCATGAGATTGATAAAATAAATCGTGAAATCAAAATATAAAGTACCTTTTGCATGCTTCGTGGGGTACACTCTTTAGCATCAACCTGAAATAGCAAACCATATTATAAATTTTTGGCTTATGGTCAAATTTAGATTAATACATTAGATTAACTTAAACAAAATATTTTCAATACACTAGAGCAGGGCTCGAAAAAACTCAAAAATTTTACCCGTCCCCGAGGACGGCTTGTCCAACAATATACCCGTCCTCCTTTGAAACTATTCCGTCACTTCTAAATAAATAAAAATATAATTTTCTCTTATTTATTACAAACGTTTATATAAATTGCAAAATGAATTAGTAGTTACTATGAATACAAATACTAGGATTGTATTATACAGTAATAAAAGGAATACTAGGTTACTAATAGGAACCCAGTATTTCTTTTATAAAATAATTTATTTCTTTTATGAAATAATTTAAATGGTTAGTTATCTGGATCAAGTTATCTGGAATGTCAATTTACCCGAGAGTTCTGTTTTTAAATGAATCAAATATGACGTTAGCCAGTTCCACAATCAAGCTAATGATTTACAGAGGTTTCTGCACAAAACTCTGAAAGGGGTTTTCCATTTAGGTAGATGTTCATAATTGCGTTTAACGCTTCTTGTTTAAGACCAGTAAGTAATGTTTTTTTTTTTTTTAGTAAGTAAGTTCATTGCTGAAAAGTCCCTTTCAACCGCTGCAGTACGGGAGTCAGAGAAAACATCAATTCCACCATGCGCAGTATGTTGCTACATTTCTAGATTAGAGGGTCATTTTAGAAGTGAGGCGCTAGACTCTTGTAAGATAACAAAAATTGAAAATGTATCACCAACATTAACGGGAAAATGGCCGTCCGCGCGGACGTCAGATTCGAGAAATTCGTAGTCCGTGGGGAATTTTTGACCGCCGAGAACGGGCGGACGGGTGGTTTTTCGAGCCCTGCACTAGAGTTAAGAAGCATTATATAAGAAATAGGAAAAATAGAGCGATTTATTATTAGTGTTATAAAAAAGACAAAATATTTTGAATGCTTTGAATTTATCATACATAATTTCAGAAGACAGAGAATAACTATCTTGACTTAGTAATATCGAGGGATGGATATCAATATTACATAAATATATCTTTATTAAGCTATCTAATTTTAAATTCTTAGTCAGTAAGCCAGAGCTGCACAAGCTGTGACTTAGACTAGACACAAACATTGATCAATGGTTATTTGATACATTGACTAGTGATTTCATTACTCTGGAAATAGGTCTTAAGAATCTAGGACTTTCACATTATTTAGTCTTTTTTGGTAAAATGTGGTCCTTGCTTAAAATATGAATGAAAAGTAAGTAAAAAAAAAATGAAAAGTAAGTAAACTACAAAATATGATAATTGAAAAAGTTAATGAGTATTTATGATCAGTAAATCATTACTTACAGTGCGACCATTTAATTCATGGGGTTTAGTCTGAAGTACAATTGATACACAACTTGGATCTTTAAAAGTTACAAAACCAAATCCTCTGGATCGTCCAGTTTCATTATTTTTCATTACAACACTATCAACTACCTCTCCAAATTTACTAAAATAAGTCTGTAAAGTTTCTATTAAAAAGAAAAACAGTTCATTAAAATTCACATTTCACACTTTTAATAAATAACAATTATTTTCATCAGAAATTTATTTATAAATGATATTTGAAACAAATGTCGGAAAGTTAGATATTAACAAACCTATTTCTCTAGGAGAGTGAAAGATATTATTTGATTAGTATTGTTGTGAGGCATATCGTCATTCAAAATTAAAATCACGAGAATGGGCTAAAATCAGATTTCTAGAACATCTCAAAGTCTTTGATTAAATAAAACTACTGTGGGAAATCTCCATCAGCAAATAGTAACATAAATACGGATAGAGTAATTCAAATAAACAATTAGGTTAAAATCTTACTATGTCACCCCCATCATTAGACTAACACAAAAACACCATTAACTTCTGGATTTGACCTTCCCACAAATTTGTAACTTTTTACAGTAATTTACAGAAAACATTTTTACAGTAATTTTAAGTTTTTTTTGTTGCTATTTATAGCAGATGTGTAGATTCAATTTATTTACTTTAAGGATATTGTTTCGCTTTTTATGAAAAAAATTGCCAAATGAAGGAAAAAACTTATGCGAAAACGCATCTATATCTTTAAATATGCTCAACATTATGCTAATTTTTGTAATTTTTCAATTGTTAATATGTTGGTTTTTTCTCCCTATACTTCCCTTATAAAAATAAATTATTTTCAGTACTAAAACTACTAAAGCAGTGTTAAACTACTAGCGTAGCTAAATCTAACCATATACCCACTTTACACATTTTAAAAATTCATAATAAATAGAATTTTAAAATTCATTCTTAAATTTCTAGGTAGATCTGTTGCTTAGAAGTCACTCTACTAATTTGAACTAAAATTAATAGTTTTGGCCAGTTTTTAATGATATTAGAAGAAAGTTCGACAGCTTACACTAACACACTATATAAGTTGATCATAAAATAAATTGATAGTTTGTCAACATGAAACTTCTTATCAGCTTTTAAAATTGAAATAAAAATGCTTGCTGCAATCCCAAAAATGGCTACAAAAATATTAAACAAATTACTTCAATTCAAAAGGAGAAAAATAGATGCTTTTATAACATATATCCACTTTACTCCATGTAACCAACCTGATCCTATAAATTATCACACAACTAAGCATTTCAATAGCAGCAAGAAGAATTAATCCTCTCACAAGAAAAAATTATTTCAAAACATGCGTACACTGAAAAAAAGTTAATTCGATATAACTAATTTTGATCCAAATATACCTTTAGTTGTCTCCCAGCTTAGACCTCCAACAAATAGTTTCCTGAAAAAGTTTTTAAAAAAAATTTTAAATTTAGAATCAAGTAATAAATCATAAATTTTTCCCTAAACTACAATTTTTAGCATGGTTTTATAAATATATCTTAAAATATAATGATAATAATGAAGAAAAAAATATATCTTAAATATTATGAAGAACTCAAATATCAATAATTTTATTTATAAAATTTTAAGATATCACTTATCAGTAAAAAAAACTTTAAAAATTAGTCCTAAAAAGATAAACATTTAACTGAAAAATGTAAATTTAAAAAAATATATATATAAAGCAAAAATATTTCTATGTGCTGTTCTGTAAAATGAGAACAGTTTATACAGACAGTCATAAACCTAGAGTAATAATATATATTTATAATATACAGAGAACGTTAGAACCAAGACAATTTGTTGAACTTAATCTCACTACAATCAAAAATAAAAGCTATAATAATACTAAAATGAACTATTAAGTTTGTATTAACAGTTTTTTCTTTATACCAACAATAAATTGTTTTTTTGTGATTTAATTTTAAAAATTGTAAACACCACATATGACATGAAATTACTCTACAAATTCTAGGTATGTATGTTTGAATATATCAAACTCTGTATTTTACTCTGTTTTATTTAATTGCTCAATCAAAACATATCTGAGTCATCAAAACATCCACCAGCTCCACTAAAATACTGTAGCAGGTAGTTCATTTAGTTTTTTACCTTTGTCCTCCTTTATTATTGTTTATTTTTTATTGCTTTTGCTTATATTTATCTTTCAGGTTTTAGTGACGAGCCTTAGAAAGTCACCATTCGTAACATTAGCAGCATTTATATCAATCATTAGAAGATTTCTGTATTATTATCACACTACAACAAGTTTAATTAAAATAACTAAAAATCAAAAAGTCACTAAAAACTTGGAAACATATAAAAGGTAAGTTTTTTGTATCAGTATGTGCAGCAAAATTGTCAGGTTTTGGCGACTTCTCGTCACTAGCCCCCAAGAAATGAAAAATAATAACAGAAGGAGACCAAATCAAAGCTTACAACTTATTAACTCTTCTGAACAAACCACAACACTTCCTTTCAAATATTTGGAAGCAAAAAGAATATAACTTAGACAAAGGTAGTTAGCTTGAACAGATACCCTTACAGAAGTATCCCCACATACAATACATTTGAATCACTAGAAAATACAACTTCAAAAGATTCCACACATATTTAACATATTGTATTCCACACATCAACATTTATAACTAATTATTTCTTACCAATACAGCTCTAAACATACGTTTAATATTTTGATTCTTTAATCTATACTCTTTTCCTTTCAAATATCTACTCATAGTTGATAATAGTCTTTAATTATAAAAATTTTCAGCATGCTCGTAAAAAAAGGAAATTTAATTTCAGTAAGACTTGTTTCTAAGTAGTGGGAAAACCTGTCAAAACTAGTTTGCATATTCTGTAACCATAGCAACCTCAGCATCAATGCAAAATTTTGTAATCTTCTATGCAAAATTACTCAGTACAGTAGTTCAAATCGCAAAAACTCATTTTTTAAAACGTAACGTAAATTATGCTTCCTTTCCATTCTTCCTTATTATTACTAAACATATGTAAAATAAAGGCTAAGAATTTAAATCATCCATAAAAAAGCATTATACGTGAAAATAATGTAATTTTTGATAACATAGCAATCGATATTGTTATTCGATTCTTAACTATAATTTTGAAAAAAACAAACAGATTTTTAAATGGCGTGAATATGTGTTGATATTTCATTGGTTCTAAACTTATACAACTTATATTAAGTTATTGTATGAAAGAACAGCTTTTTATTATACATTGAGATTATAATACATACCCAGCTTCATCGTTGTCAGTCATGGTCATTTTTTTAAAAATAATTTAAAACACTTTATTTATAAAAATATCGTTCCAGGAATATATCTCCCTTCTACTCTGTACAACTTGCGAAATACCAAAGAAAAAAGAAAAAGGAACGAGAACGATCTGTCACATCAAGTTACAGTTAATAAGGAAAGATTATTAGGACTTTAGTTTCAATTTTATTCTCGAGTTTAATAAGATTAAAATATCATTTCTTAAATCAACTTCGAATGTATTATTCAGTTATAATATAAAAATTTAATAGCTTTATTCTGTTTTACTAATTGATGAAGTAAAACTATTTCTTAAATTTTAACTACAACTGTAATATTTCAACACCACCTGCGCCGCCTGTCTGACTTTTTCACTTTCTCTTTCTCTTGAAGTCCACTTGGCATTAGTAAGTAACTTTAGATTGTTCTTAATTATAAGTTGATAATTTCTTAACCGTTTGTTTTGTATTGAACTATTTGTATTTATTTTAATCAGGCTAAAAGCCCAATCATGTTTTCCTCACTCTTTGAAACTGCAAAAAATAGTCAACTTGTAACTCCAATTTTCGCCCGCTGTGAAGCAGCTCAAGGTGAAAGTCGGGCAGTTCAACCAACAAATTTTATTGTACCCAACAGAACTATCTCAGCCGCTGCTGCTGCTGGTGAGTTACATTTATTTTAGTGTTTATTAAATTTCTCTTCATATGTTCACTTCATTGGATTTGGGTAAATAATTATTTCCGAGTCCTGACTACCACTGATAGATAAGGCCGCTTATTGTTAACTAGCTGCACTAAATTAATATACTGTTTTGTAGTTTTAATTTCTTTTATTTCAGAGGTCTGAATATACCAGCTACTGCTTTTATTTTTTCATTCGTTATTAAGTTTTAGAAGAAAAAAAAATTGAATTTACAATTATTTTTAGGGTTCTAAAGATTAAGTTTATAAATTTTAGTCAGAATGTGATGTGCGTTTGTTTTCATGTAAAAGAATCGTTCTCATTTAGGGGATATTTCTGTATTGTGATCTGTGGCAGAATAAGCGCAAAGTCTTGGTTACTTCTGGGCAGTGGCCCACGAAAAATTTTAAATACAACACAGAAAAGGACCAACCTGGAAGGTGTTACTCTGGCCACTCCTGGGCAAACATCTATGTTATTTTTTTTAAAAGTTTGCAAGTAATCTATTTGGCACCTTGGTGATTGTAGTTGGCATGACAGATCACGATATGGAACTATCCCTGTCATTTAATTGTAGAACAACACTGTATTATGGCTCTGAAACAATGCTAAATAACCTAGTAAAAATTTTCTTAATACAAAGAAGCAATTACAAAATTTGAGTGCAATTAAATGAGAGTGAACTGATGGTGTTGCCTAAGTTAATTAAATTAAATTTTGTAGAGTTGAGTGTGAGACCTTTCTCACGGCAGAACCTGGTTAAAACCTGATTGGTGAAATATTAGTCTATAATGAAGGGAAAATTGCCGCATGATACCTATGCCATCAATCTCCAAATTCTAGCTGTAATTAGGCAATAGCATGCCAAAATTATCACAGAAGACCAACTTTAGGGGTATAACTTGCAGCAATTCTTTGGCAAATAACATTTTTTAAGCAAAGGAGTAGACAGTATTAAGTTTCACAAAAGGTCTAAGTATGATGAAAAGTCTTTCTGGTCATTAATGGTCTATTTTTATAACTTTAGAATGTCAATATTAGTTGGTATGCTTGTTAATTTCATAGAAATATGTTTACTAACATTACTTTATTATTTGATCAATTTTCAATTGCTACTTTCTGACCTGTTGATCTTTTGAATTCTTGATTGAATTGAATTCTTGAAAATCAAATCTCTATTCAAAATGTAAATTTTGCATTTCAAAAAACCTTATAAATTGAATAGGTACTTATACAGAAATATTTCAGGTGGTGGTACCATATGGGCGTTGAAAAATTCTTTTGACCCTGTTTCAGTAAAGTTATATATAAAATAGAACTTGCTTTTGCACATAACAGGCCAGGGGTCTGTGCAAGCCAAATTTACTACCATTTATCGGTACATTCACAAATCCAACTTTAGGAAAAACTGTAGTTTCACAAAATACTTTTTCTTAAAATTTAATTTTTGTATCCCATAAGAAACGATAAATCTATATTTTTATTGATTTTTAATATAATTTTTAATTTTCACAAATTATGTCTAAATTTTCAGAAAATAGGTACCTTTCAGAAAAACCTTGAGGCCCCTGCAAACAGGACTTACATTGATATTTAATTATATTTCAAAACTAATTTTGTATGGTACATATAATAAAATATTCTAAGTTCTTCTTTACTTATTGTTATTGTTTCTTTACTATCATTAATTATGTCACAGATCTGTTCATATTTATTTAATTTATGCTTTAAATTTTTATTTGTGCACATTTCACAATCTTTTAAAATTTTCAGAAGGAGACAGCTGTGAATATGGTAGTATGAAATATTATGCTCTTTGTGGCTTTGGAGGTATACTTAGTTGTGGTATTACTCACACTGCTGTAGTTCCATTAGATTTAGTCAAATGTCGAATCCAGGTATGAAACCATTTCTATTCCTACTTCTGCATTTTCAGAATTTTATATCTAGGTTTTAAAAAAAATTATCATAAATCATAAGACCTAAAATTTTAATTTCAGTCAAAGATTTGCAATGACATTCAAAGTGAATTGTAATGTTATAATCTTTTCTTGACATAAATTTGCATTTGTGTTTTAAAAAAACTTTTTTTAGAGTTTCATACCTACCAGCTTGTATGATTTTATCGTACAATGTATGGTGCATCTTAAGTTGTTTTATGAAGTCTATTACACCTTCTATTGTAACTTTAATTATTAAAAATGTGCAGCTGATTAGTCAAGAATTTGCAACCTTGATAATTAAACGCTGATTTCAAATCAAGTGTGGGAAGGATATACTTTGATTGGTGAAAGAAAGTAGTACTTGTTTCAAGAGAAATTTGATTAAAGAATGTACAATTGCATGATACAGATGCATAGTTTAAGGACTTGGTAAAGTATATCTATGACACGCAACACTCGTGAATGGTATTGAACACATTAATAATATTAATACTTCAATAAACATTTTTAAAATTGGACTTTTTGTCCTTTTTTATCAAACTTTGAAAGTCTTGTTCGACCTAAACATTTATTTATTTTAGTATTTTTTCCTCTAAATTTAAATGCATAACACAAATGTTTTATTATTATTATGTGTCACTTTTCCAAGAAATCTATTTTTTGGCCTACTCTAGTATATAACCATTTATTTTAATGCAAAGAAAAGCAAGAAGTTAGTTTGGACATTTTTGAGAAAATCTATATTTACATGGATGTTCTTTTTTAATTGTGTGTAGAAGGTTGACTTTCAAAAGTACTCAAAACGTAGTTACAAAATTAAGAACTCAAAGCTTTGTTTTTAGCCATGTTTGGGTAATGCCATTAAAAAAATTTTACTTTTAGACCAACCCTGCAAAATACAAAGGTATCTTCAATGGCTTTTCTGTTACGATCAAAGAAGATGGTATGCGAGGTCTTGGCAAAGGATGGGCACCTACTGCCATTGGTTATTCTCTACAAGGTTTAGGAAAATTTGGTTTCTATGAAGTTTTCAAGAAAATCTACAGTGGTATGCTCGGAGAAGTAAGTTTCATTTCTTTCTTTACTTAGTTTTTTAAACTAGTTTTAAGATTGGCTTTAACAAAGAAATATTTCAGGAACTCTCCTACACATGGAGAACTTCTCTCTACTTGGCTGCTAGTGCATCTGCAGAGTTCTTTGCAGATATTGCACTGTGCCCTATGGAAGCTTGCAAAGTTAGAATCCAGACTCAACCAGGATGCTCTCCCTTATTGCGTAAAGTTGCACCCGCAATTTACAGAGATGAAGGAATAATGGGGTAATATTTTGTGTGTCTATAATTAAACATTGTTAGATTAACTAGTTATTTTTATCGTTCATTAATAGATTTATTAATAAAGTATCATAAACAGTTATTAATTTTGAAAACACAGCATTTCTGCTGTTGTGAAAACACTGGACCTATTTAGATTAGAAATTAGCATTTTTTATACACAAAGCATAAATATTTCACTAATAAGTAAGAAAAGTTAAAATTTAATGGGTATTTATTTTAGTAGCTTTATAATGGTTACGGAAGGACAGAAAATATGGTAACAGAAAGAAAAAGTATGGCAATGAGGAACATTTATCTATAAACGGATTTAAATGTGTATTTTTAGAATCTTTAGAGTAAAACAAACAAATTTTAAGTTAGTATTTATATATATAAATGATATTGAAACAAAACCATTTTTTTAAAAAAAAAAAAAATTCTTTCCTAGTATGTGATCAGAATAGTGAAAACTATATGTTTAGAAATTGCAGAGTTTGAAATTAATTTTGATACAAAATATCAGATGTTTGCGAAAAAAAGTTTAAAATTGGAGAAATGGATTGCAGAAAAAGAAAAGTCTGTAGAGGGTGGAAAAAAGGGTTTGAAAGCTCAATTAAGGAATGTCTTCATCTTGAAGATTCAAATAAAAAATGAGAAAATCAAATGAAAAGTCTCTGGTTGTATAAGTAGAAAATTTTAATATTAGAATGCAAATTGGGGTCCAAGCTGTTCATTGACATCAACAAGAGATGGTTTTCACTTGTTACATTTGGTACGAACAAGAGAAAGAAACTGGATATACGTTTATAAGTGCTAACCCATTGCTGCTTCCGTGCTAGCCAATTTAAGCAAAAGTTACTTGTTTAGTAATTAGTCTTTACAAATTTGACATACACATTAAAACAAAATAGTGTGACAACTTGGAACTTTCACCTCAAGCCATAGAAAAGGGGCTTTAGATGGAATTATAAAACAAAGTGTAGGAAATCATCTTAGCTGGAAGGTTGGTCACAACTGTGGGATTTTCAAAAGTTGTTGCAAAAATACCCAAAATATCAAAGTGGCATTCATTTCAAAAGAAGAGATAGAGAGAATAAAAGAGAAATCAAAGACGATCTTACAGAAAGATGTAATATCAATTCTCTTCCTGACTCACACAACACTCACTGTTTGAAACCTGTAAGAAATTATAATATTGAATATAGCAGGGCTGATTGTGCTCCGGAAAAATCCGGAATTTTCACTAAGAGTGATCCGGAAGTTTCCGGAGNATTCATATATATATATAAACATTTATATGAAAATTATCATATTTGCCACCAACTTGACTGAATGGATGATGGTATATGACAATTAAGTCATTAACAAAATTTTAGTCATATTTTTGATGAATTTTTGTTCTTATTAGGCAACTATTTTCCTAGTTTTTGGCTACTATTTTCATGCTTTAGGCTACTAAAAGCAACTATTTTGTTCATTTTTTTTCTATGGCAACCCTGTAAATATATTAACGTAAGGAAAAAATATGGCAATGAGGAACATTTATCTTTAAACTGATTTAAATGCATATTTATAGAATCTTTAGAGTGAAACAAACAAATTTTAAGTTAGTATTCTTATATATAAATGATATTTGAACAGAACCTTTTTTTTTTTTTTTTTTNTTTTAATTTTTTTTTTTTTTTTTTTTTTTTTTTTTGTAATTCTTTGATGTGATCAGAATAGTGAAAACTATATGTTTGTTAACCAAAGTTTGAAATTAATTTTGATACAAAATATCAGATTTTTGCGAAAATTTTTTTTACATTGTTTAAAATGGGAGCAATGAATCGCAGAAAAGAAAAGTCTGTGGAGGAAAAGAAAGGATTTGAAAGCTCAATTAAAGAATGCCTTCATCTTAAAGATTCAAATAAAAAATAAGAAAATCAAATGAAAAGTCTCTGGTTGTATACGTAGAAAATTTTACTATTAGAATGCAAAATGAGGTCCGAGCTGTTCATTGACAACAAGAGATGGTTTTCACTTGTTACGTTTGGAACAAACAAGAGAAAGTGACTGTATATACGTTTATAAGTGATGAAATGGATCACAGAAACGTACCTGTTTCGGTGCTAACCAATTTAAGCAAAAATTACTTATTATTAATTAATCTTTACTAATTTGGAATTCACGTTAAATCAATATAGGATCTTTCTTGGATCTTTCACCTCAAGCCGTAGGAAAGAGGCTGTTGATGGAATTATAAGACACAGTGTAGGAAATTATCTTGTCTGGAAGGTGGGTCACAACTGCAGGACTTTCAAAAGTTACTGCAAGAATACCCAAAATTTCAAAGTGGCATTTATTTCAAAAAAAGGGATAACGAGAATAAAAGAGAAATCAAAGAAGATCTTACAGAAAAATGTAATGCCAATTCTCTTCCTGACACACACAACACTCACTGTTTGAAACCTGTAAGAAATTATGTTATTAAATATCGTGAGTTTTTTTTTCTTCTGAACTGGAAGGATTTCACTCTAAAAAGAGCAGATAAATTATTATAAATGTTACACAGAGAGCGTAGCGTTTTTAAAAAGTGTTTATTTTTTATTTTTGTTTTTTAAAAGCCCTTATAGGTGCTTTTTTCATTGGGTGTTTTTAAAAAGTGCTTAATTTTCCCTTTTTCAAAATGAGATTTTTCCTTTACTATGTTGATTTTTGCTTCGAATTATGCAAAAAGATACAATTCAGAGTGTTCTATTCGTTTTCACAATTAATTCAACTCCAATCTATTTCTGCATATTGTCAGTCCATAGTGTAAGAAAACGCCATTCGTTTTAGGTGATCCAAATTTGATTTTTGACAATAGTAAAAAACAATGCCAAAAGTTTTTTTTTTTTACCTGACGGTTAAAACAAGATAAAACTGTCAATTGTCAAAAGCTTTCCAACCCTGCCTAATTATATTTTTTTAAAGCGCTTAAAAAAAATAATTTATATCTTGAAAAGTGCTTAAAAGGTTCTTATTTTTTGTTGAATAATTTGACTTCGCACCCTGTTACAGGTGAAGGTATAGAAGAATCGAATACACCAAGCTATGAGAATATGCTAGAGAATGTAATTAACAGTTGGGCTATTTCTGTTAGTAGAATGGAAAGGAGGCATAAAAAAAAAAACTATGTTGAGCAGATGCTTCATATAGATGAATATATAGAAATATTCTGTTTGAGAAAGCATGATAATGAAGGAAGGATATTAATGTTTCCGGAGAAAGGAGATAAATGCTGGATTCACTTTGATCAAATTATGCAGAAACTAGAGAATCCTAAAATACTTCAGATAACTCTTATATAAGACTTCGTTGTAGATTTAAATTTTATAATGCCTTCGTAGCTAAATGAGGGATTGTTAATTGTAGGTTTAAATTTCAGAATGCCTTTCCAAGGTTCACACGGTCCTTAAAAATCCTTAACTGCTTAATTTTTATTTTGGAAAATAAGGGCCCTTAAAAGTACTCAATTTTTGTTCAAGGTTTTTAAGTCCTTAATTTTTTAGCATCACTATGGTTGATAGAAACAATTTTTTAGTTCAAATTTTTAAAACAAAATGGAGTTCTTTTATCGCATAGAATTAGATCATGCATTGAGGGTAAAGCATCTTAGAGAAACAAAAAATTAATGTGTGTTAAGGGGCGGGTACAAGCAGGAAGGAAACATGTCCTTTCATTAATATATTGGTTCTTTCATTAATATAGTCTACTCTATGAGAAGAGTGGAGCATTCTAAAAGAAAAGAATTGTGTGGACAATGGAAATATTGCACATGGAAGAGATAGCGCTCTTTTTGGGGGAGGGGGCAGTTTCAAGGTACCTAAGTAGAAGATGCACAGTAAACTTTAAAATTGACAGAATTCAAGAAAATCAGTTCAACTGGTAATGCATCTGCTTATAGGAATTAATAAGATGCTAAGAAAAGAAGTATCTTGAAGAAAATAGAAAATGGAAGAAAAAAGCAAACAAATTAACTGGAATCCATAACTAAAATTATTTCTTGAAATCTTGGTTTAACTTAATTTGTATATTTCAATGTGTAATAAGTGACTGTAAATTTATAGAAAGCATAACATTTTTTAAAATTCATGATTGTACTAAAAATTAAACAGATTCCTACGAAACAGGGTTTGAAAAATTTTAGCCCATCTCAAGAACCTGGGGTTTTTTCAAAAATAATTTTTTTCCCTCAGTAGTAAATAAGAAAGGATGATTTGCAAGCTCTTAATTTTTCAAAAAAGTCCTTAATTTTTCAAAAAAGTCCTTAAGTTTTCAAAAAAAGTCCTTAATTTCTTCAAAAAAAGTTCTCATGAGTGCTTAATTCTTGTTTTGTGGAAGGAAGAGTGGGAACCCTGCTTTTTAGCTATTATAAATTGAATTTTATAATTTGGAACTCTTTGTCCTTCTGTTACCATTAACAAGTACCTCACTTCTATGGTTAATACGGTTATGTTAAAGAAATACTGGTTAAAATACAACAATTGAATCTTTTATGTATTTTTCCAAAAAATTTTCTTTTTATTGCTTGGCTGAATTTTTATGAAAACTATCTGATAATCGTGTCAAAAAAATAATTTCCTTTACCATTTTTTAAATTTAATAAATTACCAAAATGGACAGCAAAACTCACGCAGGTGTTAATTGGAGGAAAAAATATTTTTTCTTCAGTTGGCAGCACTACTAACAAAGACTCACATCTGGAATTCTGTAGTAGTGTAGTTCCTAGTATTTTTCAAGATTTGATCATGCATTGTGTTTGCGCATGGTTCCAAATGGAAGAAAATCATAACAGATAATGAGAAGTGGGGCTTCCTTTACGATCCTGAAACAAAACGTCAGTAAAATGAATGAAAAGCGAAAACGTAACAAAAGGAAGATTTTTCTCTTGGACAAAAGCAAAGGGAAAGTGGTGTTGGAAGTGTTTTTTGAGTAAGAGGGAGTCATTTTCTACAAATTTTTTCCTGTGGGCCTAACTGACTTCAGACCTCACCTAGCACCAACAGGTTTTTAGCTATTTTTCGGCTGAAAATGATGTTGGAAGCACAGCATTTTGTTGGTTTCAGAGTATATGATCACAAATTTAACAAAACTACTGAAGAACCTCTTAAGAAAATGGATTCCTGGAATATATTGAACAGTTATATGAATGTTGAGATAAGTGTGTGGATGAGGGAGAATGTAATTAGAAGGCCAATAAAGTAAAATTATTATTCTATTTTTTAACAATTTGTAATTTACCTATTCTAGGAACTTTTTGAGGTGTGTATATATATTATAATTGTGTGTGTTTAGAATTGTCCTATCAAAATTCTTTTTTAAAAAGATTTACTTTATCTGTTTAAAAAAAGCCTGGTAATTAATTATTGAATATAATTTTCCATCTGGTTTAAAGTCATAGTATTTTATTGCAATTTAGTCCATTAAAAAATATTAAACTGTTGCCTGACCTTTAATTTTGTTTATGCTAATATTGAATTAAAGTGATGCATTTCCTAATTTAGATTCTATAAAGGAATATCTCCCTTGTGGATGCGACAGATTCCATACACCATGATGAAGTTTGCATGCTTTGAAAGAACTGTTGAGGCTATTTATAAACACATAGTACCAAAACCCAGAGATGAGTGTACTAAGTCTGAGCAGCTTATTGTTACTTTTGCTGCTGGATACATTGGTTAGTATCATTTTGTTATATTTGTAACGTGACTTTCTCTAAAGAAGACTATTCAAAAAAAGAAGAGAAAAACCAGATTTTTAAACATTGTAATAAATTGCTAACTACGCCACTGAGAATTGAGTGAATGTTATATCTCTTAGTTTTTCAAGTTTAACCATCTACTCTTAAGAGTTATTAACTAGTTACCTATTATATACTATTAGAAGAATTGTTCAGTTGACACATAAAATAGTATTCAGGGTGCGTAGCGTTTTTAAAAAGTGCTTAAAGGTGCTTATTTTTGATTTTCGTTTTTTAAAAGCCGTTAAAGGTGTTTTTTTATTCGGAGTTCTTAAAAAGTGCTTAATTTTCTTTTTTTAAAAAGAGATTTTTTCTTCGCCGCATCGATTGTTGTTCTAAATTACAAAAAATTTATTATTTTCAAAATTTTCTCTGCAATATTTATCAGAGACTAGTTATATCATCATGTTTATGTTAAATTTTATTGATTTTATGTTTATAAATTAAGTACTTTAAACGATAGAAAAAGTAATTTTTATTACTGCACAGATCCTAAGAATGAATTTTTTTTTTGGAGGGTAATTAAAAATATTTTTTGGGTGCTTGAAAAGTACTTAAAAGGTGCTTATTTTTTGGTTGAAAAACTGGCTACGCACCCTGGTATTGATTTGATGTCTTGTAAATTTATCATTCAATTTCTAAGAAATTTTTGTCTTGCAGCTGGTGTGTTCTGTGCTATTGTTTCACATCCTGCTGATACTGTGGTATCAAAACTTAATCAAGAAAAAGGCAGTACGGCCATTGAAGCAGCCAAGAAATTGGGCATGAAAGGTAATTTTATTTTTCTGCGCCTTATTACCTTTTTTTTTTTGTTTGTTTGTCCAATTGTGTTATGTGTTAATTTATACAAAAAGTGTCATTTTTTACATATTCCAAGCTTTCCTAAAAGTAGAAAAATAAAGATTTTGATTATTTTTCTTTACATTTATCTATATTCTATCATTTTATTGGGTATAATTTACATTTATTGTAATTACACTTACAAGGTGGCCACCCACCTGAAATTATTTGGGAATTTTGAATATTTTTCTTGGATTTTCTTTTACTAATTTTCTTACTTAAAATGATTTTATCCGTTATTCCCACTTTATTTTAGACTGAACTTTATTGCCAAACAGTTAAAATATCATTAATTTTTCTCGTAAAACTGCTGACCTAAAAATTTTAAAGATTTTCACCCGAAAAAATCAGGGTAATTTGAAACCTGAATTGAGTGACTGGCCTGATTTACAACTTTGCGAAATATGTTCTAAAATTTTGAATTTCTTGACATTAGCTATTAAAGAAATGAATGGGATCTTCCTTAACTGCTATTTGACATTTGGTGCCATTCTATATTTTTGCTTCCTTAAGTGGTCTTGTTTCTCCTGTTATTCAATTAAAAAAAAGTTTTTAGAAGAAAGCTTTATAGTGCTAATAAGTAAAATTTAGTCCTTCAGATTCTGCAAATTATGCTTAAACTTGTGTATCGTTTGCTATTCATGTCATGATTTACGAAACACAGCAATTCATTTTTAATTTGCAAGTCACCCAATGTGATATACAAGTTAAGGGATCTACAAGACCTGTTTCATGTGATTTTGATTTACATATAACAAATCACGATTCCTATGCTTACAATATAAAAATTATTTATAGTGGATATTTGCAGAGTTTCAAAAATTATGCTTTGTGATTTATTATTTTATTTTGAATAAAGAAAAAAAGCTTTGAGTTTTAGTTTATCAGTAAAATATTGCACTGTGATAGTTTTTTGTTTAAAATACAATACTGATGTTCTGAGGTTATATAACAGATATTGTGTTATTGAAATTGAATCAGATATACTAATTGGATATATTTTTATATTTTATCTAATTATGTGTACTTTCTATTAAAAATTGATGTAATAAGTTAAAAAGAAGTCTTCAGATTGAATATCTTTGCAATTACATATTAAATTCTATCAATATTTTATTATAATGCTTATGTAGTGTAATACAGTTTGCATAATGTTTTTTAAAGGTGCTTATTTCATAATTAATTCAACTTCATAATTAACTACAACCCATTTTGGCATACTATCGGTCCGGAAAGTATGAAAGCGACAGTCATTTTACATGATTGATGAAATCATTTTTTATGCTGTGTAATACAGTTTGCATAATGTTTTTTAAAGGTGCTTATTTCATAATTAATTGAACATTAATAATTAATTCATAATTAAATTTTGAATAAAATATTTTGCTGATCAGTTTTAAAAGTTGACAAGTATGCTAATTACATTTAGAAGTTTTTGGATAAGTTTTCAAAACTGAATTGCGGCAGCAATGTAACTATCAAACAATTTACATTGTTAGTTGTGGGCTACACATAATAAACAGTGCTACGACTATTAAACAATGTAAAACTGATGAATTTAATATATTTTTTTATCAACTAAGTATTGTCTGTAAAATTTACAATTTCTGCTTCAACATAATTTTAAAATCTGGTTGACATGTATTTTAGCATACTAGGTATGTCTTAGAAAAATTTTATTTTAGCTCCTTGAAAGTCATTGAGAAATCCTTGATTTTATTTATGTATGTATTATTTTATTTGAGTGAGAAACCTGAAAAAGTAACTTTTTTTTAAGCAGCTATCTCTCATACTATCCCTTGAAAATGTGCAAATACTTTTGAGCCGATATTAAAATCAATGACAAACCTGGCGGAAAAATTACTTGCACCCTCGTTGTACCAATATTCGCGAATTTTAGTTCAATAAGGGTTTGTAGGACCGTTATTTTTCCAATATTGGCCCTATATAGAATTATTCGATTCACCCGATATTTTACGGTAAATGTTATCCCTATATAGAATTGTCAGATTCACCCAATATTTTATATTCATTATTCAGCCAATATAGGCCATTTTAAGATCAAACATAAAAAATCTAGACATCCCAATGCCGGTTTCTCAGTGCCAATATTGAGGCTAATTGCAGTCACGGTAAAATTGCTGCTAGGGAAATCTTTTGTTTAATATTTATAAAGTTTTAAGTAAGATTTTCTTTTCTTTTCTAGGTTTATGGAAGGGATTGACTCCTAGAATAATTATGATTGGTACATTGACCGCATTGCAGTGGTTCATCTATGATGCAGTCAAAGTCTGGCTGAGATTGCCCAGACCTCCCCCACCCCAGATGCCAGAAAGCTTAAAACAGAAATTAGAAGCTCACCAAAAATAATCTGAATAGAATGTAATTAAAAAGGAATATTAATTTAAAATTCAATTCACCTTTCCAAAATGAAATTGTTCAAAAACTAGTATCGCAATATTTGTGTGTATAGTTTTTTTCCAACGTTTATACATTGTATTTTTAATCACGCTTAGAAGAGGTATATTTAAGATTGTAAAAAGTCTTTAGTTTTTAAAAGGTTCAATAAATTCATATCTTTTTTTTTTTTGTCATTCTACTCATTTTATACTTCATTGTTGATTGTGATCATGTCTGGCAATTCTCAATATCCATTGAGTTTAATAAATATTTATTCTGGAAAGAGTTTTGTTTTATGGTGTTTGTAACAGATCATTAAAGTAATCTTTCACTGGCGATTGTTTTTTTATTTTCGGCGACTATAGACATTTTGGCCAGGAAAGCTAAAATTTTTAAAGTGGTGACTTCTTGCAAATTTCGGCGACTATTTCCTCATTTACTGTGGTATATGTTATAAGCGATGGATTTGTTGGCTCTTTTTTTTTTTTCTTCATTAAACCGTTCAAGTAAATATTGTAGTGTGAGAATAAGTGGGTAAAATGACTGTTTCTTTTTAAGAGTTTCCTGAATACGATTAGTCATTCTCTTAGCAGATTTTTTTGTTACATTGATTACCTCAATAACGGATGTATATCATCGTCTGCAGAATTTGTCGCGGATAAGCGTTTTTTTTTTTGTACAATGGATTAATTGGAGTTTTTTTTTTTTTTGGTNTGGGGGGGGGGGGGGGGTGCCGCTATGCGCCAAAAAAATCGAACAGCCTGAATAACTTGATCAATGATCGGATCTTCACTCAGTCTGAATGGTTATTTTCTGCTTTGAATAATCTTTAGATTGACTAATTTTTTCATTGTGTGCAAGAACTTTTCTCTTAGCTTAAAAAGTTCGCGAGATATAGCGAAATACGCAAAAAGTAAAATTAAGGGTTCCAAACTTGAACGCGGTCTTGATCAAACTATAGTCACCATTTTTCCCAGGACACGGTTGCCACTATATTTTGGGTGTCAGAGAACCGAATCTGTCCGAGAAAGAAGGTATATGTTTTATACAGAGAAAAAACATTTTTGTGTCTGATCTCTTAATTAAAAATACTGTTTGCACTAAATAATTAACATATTTTAGGCCACCCCCTTGAACCATTTGGATTGAGCCTTAGAACGTGAAGATCCGATCATTAGATCAAAAAATATTCATTGTGGTCCAATTTTTTTCTCTCCACCCTTAACGTTTCTTTGATAAATAAATTCGTAACGTTAGCTTTATTATTTTCAATATTCACGCTAATTAAAATAACAAACATCGCTTTTTTAAATAACTCATTGCGATTTTTAATTATGCGTTTTAAAAACAAATTGTTTCGTATTCACGCGATCTTAAAATCAAGAATCTATTCATTTTCACATTATTTTTAAGACAAACATCTAAGCCGAATATCGAGAAGAGAAGAATTTTCACTAGATTTCAAAGCGTTAATGAGCTGTAAGAAAAAGTTATGATCTTAACATTTAATGAAACATATTTGTAGCATAAATTCTATGTTCATCATGGGTGCAAGTCTTCCGTCCCCAGGACGGATTTCGGTCTTTCGTAAATGTCCGAGGACGGAAACAAGACTGACTCAAAGACGGAAATCGAAATTTTTCTTTTCTGTCCTTAAAAATATTTTTTAGGTCTACTCTCTACTACTTAAAAATATTTTTAGGTCTACGTTATTGGTGTACTTTCTTATGTCCTGTTATTTTCTCAAAAGAGAGATGAATAAATAATTTTTGTATAGTATCTAAACTTGATGTATTATGGTAAAGCTTTCTTAGATATTTTGGTATTTCAGTCTTGGCCTTTTTTCCAACTTACACCCATGATGTTCATACAGACAAAAAAATAATTATTAAATTTCACAGAAGCTACGTTTTTTTATTTCTCGAGATTAATCCAAATCTATGTAAAAAATCTAGATCTATAGTAGCAATTTCTTAATATTAAGTTCATATTTTTGATTTTTATTCAATTGAGCTTTACTAGTATCAATTATATATTTATGATTATATGTTTAGTATCAATTATATATTTATGATTTAAATTTAAAATTTTTAAATTCAAAAAGTAAAAGAGCAATCAATAGATGTGCTCCCTACCTACTTTTTTATACTAAGATTTCCTTCCTGTTTAAGGGCTTCTCAAAGAAACCTTCCAATAAATTGAAGGTAAAAACTGTGCTAGAAAAAATATCCCGGGTTGTAGTTGTTCAAATATTCCTATTGAGAAATATTTTGTGTTGTTTTAGATACTTCTAATCATTTTAATTTTTTTTAGCATCACATTTTCAGCAAATGCTGATTATTGATTTAAAGAATTTTTTTTTCCCCCAATGCCCACCTGGATAATGACCTAGGTCAGTGTTCCCCAAACTTTTTATTATCGCGGACCTGTCAACATTTGCTAATTTTACAGCGGCCCGCTCTGGGGGAGGGGGGACGATGATTGTTTATATTTCAGATTATTTAGATTTATTAATTTTAATTTAATTGTATTTAAACATGCCTTCAAAATAAAATACAGTTGCACCAAAAAATAAATGTAAAGTGATTTAACATTTTAACTTACTTAAATCAATTAGTCACGATCGAGAGAGAAGACGAAGTTCTTCATTAGTTCCAATGTAAATTTCTTCCGCTTTCGTGCTTTATTTATGGTATTTACAGTTATGATGATTGATTTTTTTTTTTTTAATTGAAAAAGAAAATAGTTGCAGTGGTTTTCTTTCTTACTTTTTTTTTTTACTTTTTGAAACATTAAAAAATTTATGTCACTACCTTCGGGGGCCCCCTTTTTTCAATAAATAAAATTTTAATGGAACTATTTTTTATTTGGGGTATAAACCTAGGAATTTAAATTCTGTTTCAATGAAATGGGCGGCCCGGTACCATTTGATCTGGAGTTGGGGAACACTGACCTAGGTCATACAGGCACCTGAAAGACAAATTTGTGGACCACTCTTTCAGGGGTACCATATTAGGTGGCCCAACGTTGCTCCCACAGTAGGCACAGATAGTACAGAGAAGGAAAGAACATCCATGCCTTGCCCGGGATTCGAACACAGAACCTTTCTTTTGCAGGGGCAGTTCCCTAACCCCTACACAGGCCGGTCGGCTGATTTAAAGAATTAGAAAATAGGATTTTCGATTCAACATTTTTTAATTTTTTGATAACACAGACTTGGGGACTGTTCACTAATTATTAGCATGGTTCAGGCATATAGCTTACTCGCAGGATTCAATATTTTAAACTTTTTGAGAATTCAGTAATTTTATGAAAAAGAAAATTATGTTTCAAAAGATAAGGTATTTTTTTCTAGTTTAACTATAGCTAAGTGTTGAGTGGGACAAATACCCACTGTCTCCCACTCACAATGAGCGATCACCCGAAGCGAAATGTTGGAGGGGCACCGTAAGAGACCAGATATAATAGTTAAACTCATGTTTGTGAAAATTGCAACACCATGAAGGACTTACGCGAGTGAGCTGAAATTTTCAGGAAATGCAAAGTAGAGCCTAATATGCAAATGATTAGAATTTCAGACCCGTAGCGCATGCGTATGCTGAGCAGCGCCCTCTGAATGGCGGATGGATCCGAATAAATAGACGGCTGTAGCGATCGAGGCGTGTATGGTTATCGGTGGTTATCTGTTAGTGGTAAACGTTAGCTCAGACGTTACTTATGCCTCTTCAACGAAAGAGAGCGAGATTTCAACAACTTACGGAGTTTGAAAGGGGGAGAATCATCGGCCTGCGTGAAGCTGGATTGTCTCATCGTGCAGTAGCCGCTCGTGTGCAGCGTAACAGCAGCACAGTGATGCGTGTTTGGAAGCAGTGAACGGACGAGTGTCAGACAATTCGAAAATCCGGGAGTGGGGCCCGAAATGTCACGTCAGCTCGCGATGACAGACACCTGGTCCTCAAGGCACTGACAGACCGTATGGCTCCCTCGAGGGTCTAGATCTAGACAACTGGCAGCACAGTGGTCAATAGCTACAGGTGTTTCATTGTGTGCTTCATCAATTCGTAGACGTCAACTGCAGCGCGGACTGCACGCAAGGACTCCTTTATACAAGATCACCATCACGCTAAACCATAGCCGCCTGCGGCTACAATGGGCCAATCAGCATAAGGACTGGCGTGCTGATTGGCAGCATGTCGTGTTTTCTGACGAATCCCGCTTTAATTTGTGGTACCATGATGACCGCATTCAAGTCAGACGCTATGCCTGTGAACACCACCTTCCGGAGTGCATTATCGAGCACCACAGTGGACGAACACCCGGAGTTATGGTCTGGGGTGCCATAGCATATCATGGACGATCTCAATTGCTACGAATTGTGGGTAATCTGAATAACAATCTGTACATCAGTGGAGTTTTACAGCCCCAAGCTGTTCCCTTCCTTCAAGCCTTACCAGGCGCTGTATTTCAACAAGACAATGCCCGCCCTCATATTGCTAGGACTGTTCCATCCTTCCTTGCATTGCGGCAGGTACAGCTTCTTCCTTTGCCGGCGTATTCCCCAGATACGTCACCGATTGAACATGTGTGTCATTCCGTTGGTCGGTGTCTCGCTCGTGCTCCTCGTCCTGTTGCTTCTACAGACGAACTTTGGGTACGCATGCAAACTATATGGAATGCTCTTCCTCAGACAGACATTCAAAATTTGCTTGACTCCATGCCACGTCGTGTAACAGCACTTATTGCGTCACGTGGTGGCTACACAAAATACTGATTTCGATCTCTTGTTATTGTTTGTTTGCTTTGAAAGTTTAATCATTTATTTATACTACCACTCAACTGTGTGTAATAAATTTCATTCAATTATGACGATTCCTTCATGGTGTTGCAATTTTCACAAACAGGAGTTTAGATTCTTTTTTAATAATATTATTCGTTAGAAAAATGAATTTATAGTTTATTAATTGCATATTATTAGATTAACTTTCTTCATAATTAGACTTCTTTGTGTATAAGTTTTACTAAAGTTGGAAATGAAAGTGTACAGCAGTAAAAGCCCCGCATTGTGAGTTCCGCATTTTCCAGGTAGGATGTCTTCTCTAAATCATTCAACAAACAAGAGGGAATTGTTTTAAGTTTCATGTTTAAGACTAACACAGCTTTAAGATCAGTGAATAAGCATATTAACAACGAGTAAGTATATTAGCAGCAGTGAATTTATTTATGGGCTAGACGATTAATTTATAAATTCATAAAAATGTTTATAAACCTACAAATTGTGTTGGGACTGTCTGCTACAACTATTTTTCATTTTTTAAATTGATTTTTAACAAAATTGTTATATATTGAATGTAAAATACCTTTAAAATATCATTTAATTATCTGCAGTGCACAAAAAAATAATCGAGTTGTTGTTGTTGTTGTTAATTTACGTCACACTAGAGCTGCACAATGGGCTATTGGCGACGGTCTGGGAAACATCCCGGAAGATGATCCGAAGACATGCCATCACAATTTTGATCCTCTGCGGAGGGGATGGCACCCCCGCTTCAGTAGCCCGACGACCTGCGCGCGAAGTCGAGCACTTTACGGTAGCACAGTTTAACGAGGACCAATACCGCACACCCTCGGTCCCTACGCAGACTGATCCAAGTGGGTCACCCACCCGCACACTGACCGCAGCCAGTGATGCTTGACTTCGGTGATCTAATGAGAACCGTGTCTTAACGATCAGTCCACTGCGGGACAAAAAATAATCGAACCACCTGAATAACTTTTAATATAATGATCGGATCTTTACGTTCTAAAACTCAAACTTAATGGTTCAAGGGGTGACTTAAAATAAGCTGTATTTATCATAAGGCCAGGGTCTGTCTAAATGCGACAAATATATATATATATTTCATCATTAAAAATTTCACGAGAATTAATAAGACATTTTCTACAACAAATTTGCTCCATCTGTTTTTCGTCTTCAGTTTCTTTTCTTTTTTGTAGTTTATTTACGTCACATGAGCTGCACATTGGGCTATTAGCGACGGTTTGAGAAACATCCCAGAGGATGATCCGAAGACATGCCACCACAATTTTCACCCACCCGCACACTGACCGCAGCCAGTAATGCTTGACATCGATAATCTGCTGGGGAAAAAATTCTTCTGAGTTATTTGTGATTTTTGTCCTAAATGGCTGTGATTAATGACGTTGGGAAAAAATGTGTTGAGACGTGTTCTTTGGCGCTGAACTTTTGGCTCAAAACTTTTCGCGCACTCCTTTAACAAGAATGAAAATTTATCAGGGCCATTCTCACTGAATGCAGTTGACGCACTTCCGATTGCTGTCGAGAGAAAATGAGACCCTGATTCTAATTGAGAACCTGATACAGTCACTCGAAAAAATAGCTGAGCACCGTGACCCTTGCAAAATAAAATTGGAAACGCAAAACGACACAATAAATAGTCTCAAGCCTCGATTCTCACTGCTCTTTTGTCGTGACTCCATGATTGGAAACGTTCTCACTGCCCTCTCGTGAAGCAGTCCATTGTGTATGTGAAATGGGTGACCCCCC